TGAGTTTGAAACATCTGTCACTCTGTCTGAGAGAACGAAAAAAAAAAGGCACTCCTGTGCTCTTATCAGTGTGGGACATTGAACACACTGTTGTCAGTATAAACCCACCTACCCACAGCAGGAAACACCCACTGTGACAAGGCACAAATGAGAGACTGTGTGGTGGGGACTGTTCACCAACCACATTTTATATCCCTGATATATATATATGCTTGTGTGTTATATATATGAGAATTACTTAACAAAAACTATATATTATTTCAATAATTTCATCATAGCTATTGTCTTTGCCTTCTTGGACTTATACCTGTTTACAGAACACAGCATTGCAAGTAAAGACTTTTATTCTAAACTACTTGGTCTGAGTCCTCTACCTGTTGGCTTCAGTGTGATACCAGTTGATTCTCTCTCAATCGATGACTCTTAGACTCTTAAAATGGAAGGGTTGCTCTGATTGCAACCTAACTGTTTCTATTTGGGGAAACAGCGTCACTGTATGCTTACTTATGTAGGCCTATGTGGCAAGTCACAGTTTCTGCTGCTGTGCCAGAACTGTTGAACCTGTACTCTGGGGCGACTGTGGCTCAGAGGCAGAGCGGGTCATCCACTAATTGGAAGGTTGTTGGTTCAATCCCCGGCTCCTCCTGCCACATGTCAGAGTATCCCTGAGCAAGATACTGAACCCCTAATTGCCCCAGATGCTATGCATCAGTGTGTGAATGTGTATGTATGTATTAGTTTCTGTTTGATGGGCTTTACCATCACTGTGTGAATGTGTGTGAAAGGGCGAATTTGGCATGTAGTGTAAAAGCGCTTTGAGTGGTAGGAAGACTAGAAAGGTACTATACAAGTACAGGTCCATTTACCATTTACACTTACTAAAAAAAGTTTCAGATGTTGGGCAGCACCACAACAAATAACTTTCTCCTGAATATTGTTGGGCTTTGTTTTGAAATTCCTTTATTTTAGTTTTTAGATTTCGCTAGCTTTTCTGTATGGAGGACTAAAAGTGCCACAATTAAATAAATGAATACACCATTAAATAATTACTTGAATGTGTCATTAATTAATTAGGGACCGAGCCAGCGACCGGCAAGGTCCCTATTGTTTTTGCTTGATTTCTTCTTCTTCTTCTTACCTATTATTAGGGACCGAGCCAGCAACCGCCTATACCCACTTCAGCCTATAATTTCTTTTCGATAGAGCGCGAAATGTCCTTAAACTACTTTTTCATGGTCCTCCTACACGCTTTTTCCGATTCGCATGAAATTTTTCACCTAGCACCTGGGGACCGCCCTGGCAAAAAGAAATTAAAAGAAAATTTTTTTAATTTAAAAAAATAAGAACGCTATAAAATTCCAACTTCCTGTAGATTTTTCGTCAAAAAAGGAAGTGGACCATTTCTCCACATTGCTATGTCCGATTGGCACCAAACTTGGGTCCATAGTTCCACATGTCTTCCTTAGGCATCGTGCACAATTTTAGGTCATCGCTTCTAGGTGGCGCTCTTTAAAATGAAGAAGTTTATATCTCCATAATGACACTTGTGATTGAAATGAAACTTGGTATGATGCTTGCCCATGGCTTTCTGAGGCTCGGTAAAAAATGTGTCAACAATCTGCCACTAGGTGGCGCTCTGGTGGCATAGTAAATCACTGTGTGGAGACCGTAATAGTTATGAATATGAAATTCACAGGGCACGTGTAGAGTGGTGCCTGAAGCTCACATACCAAAAATCGTGTTTGTTGTGTTTGTAGCGCCCCCTACAGGATAAAAAAAAGGCAGCCCTGGCGCCACATTTCACCGATATGTACGAAACTTGGTAGGCACGTGTAACATGCCGGGACGTACAAAGAAGCCTCTTGGACCCATACCCCAAATCCCACAGGAAGTCGGCCATTTTGATTTAAAGTTCCAATTTCGGTGAACTTTTCGCGTTGTATTTGAACGAACTCCTCCTAGGGAATTTATCGGATCTACTTCAAAATTGGTCAGTACAGTCAAAAAATGGTGCTGATTAAAAGTTGTGCTATTTGTGCATTTACGTTAAAGGGTGTGTCCGTGGCGTGGCATCAAAGTCAGCCATTTAGATTTTTTTGCTCATTTTATGTGATTTTTTGCCGTTGTATTTGAACGAACTCCTCCTAGGGAATTTATCGGATCTGCTTCAAAATTGGTCAGTACAGTCAAAAAATTGTGCTGATTGAAAGTTGTGCTATTTGTGCATGTACATTAAAGGGCGTGTCCGTGGCGTGCCCTCAAAGTTGGCCAGGTTGAATCTAATGTCAAACTGTGATGCCATTTCCGGCATTTTGCAATGATTTTCAGCATGTTTTTGCGTTGTATTTGAACAAACTCCTCCTAGAGAATTTATCAGATCTGCTTCAAAATTGGTCAGTACAGTCAAAAATGGTGCTGATTAAAAGTTGTGCTATTTGTGACTGTACGTTAAAGGGCGTGTCCGTGGCTTTCCCTCAAAGTTGGCCAGGTTGAATCGAATGTCAAACTGTGATGCTATTTCCTGCATTTAAGGGCTTCTGTTTTAACTAACTCCTCCTACAGATTTTATCAGATTGACTTCAAATTCGATCACTCCAATCTACATACATTGGTTATCAAAAGTTGTGCTATTTGTGACTGTATGTTTAACCGTGTGCTAGTGACGACGTGTCGAATTCCACCGATTGGCCATCAAACAGATAGTACTCATATATTTAGTGTACATTCCCACCCTGAACACGTCCTCATAACTTCAGCGTACATGATCCAATCTCAATGAAACTTCACGTGTTTGATAACAGTCTCACCCTGAACACGTCTACATGACAATATTCAGACATAGTGATAGCGCCACATACTGGTAACAGGAAGTATCACGTTTTATACTTTCATGTTGTACTCCTTGCAGGATGATCAGATCCAGCTGAAATTTACTTATAAAATACAAAACACATTGTTGATGATATGTGTTGACTGTGGTGAGGGGGCGTGTCTGTGGGGTAGCGGGAAATTTTGATGGACCGCCACAAAACATGAATTCGCTATAACTTGAGTGTACATTGTCCAATCGGCTCCACACTTCAAATGCTTGATAACAGTCCCCCCCTGAACACGTGTACATGACAATATTCAGACATAGTGATAGAGCCACCTACTGGCAATAGGAAGTAAGCGCTGCGTGGCGATTTTGAGCTGAGCTATGTGAAATGACCGTGCCAGTGACGACTTGTCAAATTCAGCGGATTCGCTATAAAACAGCACTCATAACTTCAGTGTGCAATGTCCAATCTCCAGTAAACTTCATATATTCTTTAACAGTCTCGCCCTGAACACATCCTCATAACTTCAGCGTACGTGGTCCAATTTCAATGAAATTTCACGTGTGTTACAACAGTCCCGCCCTGAACTTGTCTACATGACAATATTAAGACATAGTGATAGCACCACCTACCGGCAACAGGAATTAAGCGCTGCGTGGCAATTTTGAGCTGATTTACGTGAAATTTCATGTTTTGGTCCGCACGTGTAACGACGGCACGCGACGCGGCCGCAGCATGCCCCGAGTTGCGTGGAGTGCGAGGTCCCGCTCAACGCTGCTTGCAGCTTTAATTACATATGTTTTTTACATAAAATGAATCGGTATTTGAATGAATTAATGACACATTTAATAACACATTTATATATTTAATTCCAATTTTAATTCATTAATGACACATTTTAGTAATTATTTAATGGTGTATTTATTTATTTAATTGTGGCACTTTTAGTCCTCCATATTTCTGTGGATTGTTGTGGCCTGAAAATGCCTGATGTCATGGCAGCTTTTCTAAAAATTTGCACATTGCATGGCATATTTTTTTCAATGAATTTGGAGGAGAAAAGAAAAACTTCAAAAAATAGTTGCAATAAAAAAATTTTAAGGCAACTCGTTCTAGTAAGAATAGAATTGCTAATAGTTTGGTGAGATATGGCTCAAAATTTTAAGATGATGATTTGTGGTAATTGGACATCAAAAATTCCTGGAGGGACTGGTTCATTCAGATCATCTGGTTAGCATATCTAACTAACCAAGACAGCAGTACAAACATAAAGCAGTAGAGGTTGAGAGATGTGACACCAATTGCAAGGGCTGCAGTCTCAAATCAACACACAAGGTAATCTCTGGAGAACCTCCATTAGTGGGCTAAAATGGTAAAGAAATAGGCTCTTGTTGGTTGCTGCGAAGTTCCAGGATTAACAACTGCTCCTAAAAATGTAGTACAATTTGTTGCGACGTTCCAGAAATAAGAGGAAAGTTGTGTTCTTGCAACTCCAATTTAAAGATCTTTTGACTCAAACATAGTTTAACCATGTGATGTAATCTACAACTTACACCTTAAGAACAAATATTACTGGGACCACGACAGAAAATTGCGGATAAACATTTAATACAGAGCCATATAGCTATATACCAGGTTTCCACCTACTCATGTTTTCTTGATATTCGAACCATGTACTCAGGTAGACTTTATTGTGAAATATTACGATTATGTAAAATGATCACTGTCAGTCTCGATCAGCCAATCGTGTAAGATTTGTGACATAGACCTGTATGTTACTATCAAACAAGATATAACGCCACACAACATTCACCTGGGTTTGTTCAGTGAGACATATGAACTACCAGATTCTCTAGAAATATCAACATTTGTATTCATGTTGACAGTGTTTGAAGAGAAGCATCACTCTTAACCAACACAACTGTACTTAAACACCACTCAGTCATGTATGGTGTACTCAAAGTGGTTCAAGAAGTTCATGAGAGAATAAAAAAAATCTGTGCTTGACTCAAGTCAAAGTAACTTTATTGAATGATCATTGACTGTTGTGCTGATGACTTCAGATCTGCAGCTTCTGTTGTTCAGTGAGCACGAGGAGACTTCCTTCTGATCTGTCTTTCAGCACATCCGAACAGGCTTCTCTGTAGTAGTGAACAGGTGTGAATTAGGGCAAAACTGTGTTGAATACAAACAGTAGACAAGCAGTGTATATATTTATATATAGATAATTTGCTCATGTGGACACTCACAGCACTTGTAGAGTGTGTTGAGCCTGGCCTTGTCATTACGGCTCATCTCCTTAGCGTTGCCAAAGGACACGTTGGAGTTAGGGATGGGGACCATGGTGGGCTGGTTGTTCTTGGAGAAGGCAAACCTACAACAGGACACAGAGCAGTTAGACTGAACCACAGCACATCTTGCACATACAACTCACACACTGGCACACAATTGTTCTCACTTGTGGTACTGCATGACAGAGTTGTAATCATAGGGAGTGCCCTGGTTGAGGGTGGCAATCTTCCTGAAGTTGTGCTCCATTCCTAAAAGAACCCCAACATAAATCAAATTAACATTTGTTTGGTTTTCATTCACTTTGACTGCTGGAGAATCAGTGTTGTCAGTCAAATTTGTAAAGTCATCCGAATTCCAAACCTAAGAATGTATGTGCAGTGCCAACATTCAGTACAAAACTCTAACCTTAAAATTGAAATGCTCTAATATTCCATTCTGAATTATAAACATCTCCTTTACCAGACTGAACATTTTGCAGCATGACTCTGATGTGGTTGTCTCTGTCAGAGCGTGTCTGTTCATGGTTGAATCCCAGAGCATGGAGCAGCTCATGCTGGACGGTTCCGTGGTAAAGGCATCCCCTACGGGCCAGAGACACCACCTGCTTACCGCCACGACGGCCAACAAAGGAGTAGCAGCTGGACGAGATCAGATATGAGTTGAGTAACACGGAAGTCTGAAAAAAGCTTTCAAGTCAAACTGTTCATTGACATCGGTTTTCCTACCCATTCTGGGACTCGATGCTCAGCCAGTCGCGGTCACTACTTTTGCTGGGCCTGAAGCGGATGCAGGAGAAGGAAGAGAAGGACTCCAGACCACGGGTGATGATGGCCTTCTCACGGGAGGCTGGCAGGGAACATTTAACTTTTAACCATCTCACAAGAAAAACAGAGGACCACACCATCCTTAATATACAGGACAGGTTCCTGGTCTTTTGCATTCGAAAAGGTGAGGGTTGTATTTTATTCAGACAATTATGTATTCACAATAATATTCTTTTTGAATGTTCATGAGTTCAGTTTAGCATAGAGGACTTTCTGATGTAATGTGTTATACTGCTGCGAAATAAATAAATTCCCAATGAGTGTAAGCACCTTCAAATGCAAATAGGATGAGTGACTCAACGGTATATCATATATTGGTTCAGTAATCATTAATGGGTTGGTTTCACCTTTTGCTGACTGCTGTTGATCAATGTCACTTAAAGATCTTTTGCCAAAGTTTCTACAAGTGGTTGCACCATGCTGTATAAAGACTGACTGATACTTACAGAAGTGACTGGCGATGTAATAAGGAATGTAGACCTTCCCATCAGTCCACTTGCCCCACATGCAGCCTCGGCTGGTGCAGGGATCGGCATTTCTCTCTGCCTCGCTGTCGATGGCGACGTCTCCGTCAATCAGAATGGGATCATTGTCGGAACGGACTGAAACATACACACACACACACACACACACACACACACACACACACACACACACAGCAACTTAAAAACCTGTTAAAGTGCTACTAACAGAAGAAGAAACATCAAGAGTGGCCATGAGGAACATGGCGACTGCAGCAGCTCTCACTCACTCAGATTACTGTTGGCTCTCTCCAGAAGTTCAGAGACAGAAAGCTCAGCTGAGTCCTCCTCTGTTCAGTGACATCATCAACAACACAGTTTCACTTTGCAGCCAACACCAGTCACAATGCTGTGCATGTCTGTACAATACAATAAATTACATACCTGTCTGCAGGTTCAGAGTGGGATTGTGGGAGAAAAACAAACACATGACAAAACATTATTGCAAACAAATGACCAAATTCTGTGTCTTAAAGTGGCATGTTCACATTAAGGCTGTTAGAAGTACAAAGACATTATGTGATTACACTGTGAGAATCACAGAATCTAAAGATTTGCAGATAAAGTGCTCTAAATGGTCAAATATCTGTGAGAAATGGTAGATATAGCGCTAAAACCCAGCAATCTGATCCTACCTCACTGTCGGCCCAACAGCAGGCAGACAGAAGCAGCAGAGCCAGAGCTGAGAACCTGAAAACAGACGTACGAGCCATCCCAGCAGACCTGCAGGACCCAGACAGGAATCAGCTTCCACTCAGAGGAAAGACAGTCTTTGAAGCAAAGATAGAGATACTTTTCCATTACAGATATTTGAACTCACCTTGGATCCTCTGTGTGGACTTGTGAAGCTGAGGTTTCACTGCAGGTTTTTATATATGCTTGACTGCATCTGTAAGCCCAAAAATGGATTATCTGGACTCTAAGAAACCTGTAGAATGAGCTAAACTCACAGGCTTATCAGTCACACATGGTTCAGACACATGGATTTGATATCCATATCTATAGTATATGTGTGAGAAGTATACATGTGTAAGTTATCCACTGACTCATTTGAGAGTTACCATGCCTTGTCAGAGTCTTCCCATATATATATATTATTATTATTATTATTATATGTTATATGTTATATATATTGTAGTGTAATAGTATAATAGGAATATTTTTAACGTGTGAAGTGCTTTGCGTTACATCTATCTTGTATGAAAAGTGCTATACAAATAGTCTGGTTGATTGATTGATTGATATATACATATGTCTCAATATCCTTTACATGGTAAGCAGCAGTATGTTCAAGGCCGCCAGGCCGTTATTAAATCACAATATATATACAGCTATTCTGTGATAGCAGTTCTGTTTTGGATAAATGGAATGTACATTTATTATGAACTGTAACTTTTAAATTATATCTAATGACTCAGCTAAATTTAGCTGTATGATACTGTTCCTTTCCACAATGTTACCGCAACGGCAGCTGTTCTTCTGGCTGTATTGCCAGTGGCAGGCTTTTTGTGGGGCAGGGGCAAAAAATAAAACCGGCACCAGCATGCAGAGAATCATGATGCATTTCTGGTGAAACAGCGTGAGAGTTAGGACACTTTACCACATTTTGTCCACTGGAAGGGCAGCCTAGAGTCCTTGTTCCAAACCTGGGGGCCCCACTAGGGCTCGCCAAAGCTTCACGGGGGGTTGCGAAGCCTTTCTGATTTTAAGGGATGTAAGATATTTTTTTGAAAAGAATATATTGTCAGCCTTTATCTCAATATGTCATTCATTTACGTGAAGAAAACGAAATTAAAATGTTATTTTTAAATTTTAAATTATTATTTAAACTAGAAATTTAAAACAAATCTGACTGGATAAGGGCACAGTGAAAACCTGAACACAAACTATATTCACATAACCTTTACTCTCACTCATCCTGCATTAGAAAAGTACACAGTTAAAGGGATTGTATTGAATGTTCCTAAAAATATCAGAAAACTAAATCAATATTCACAGAAAATAATAATAATGCTAAAAATTAATTTTGTGTTCCCTAAGGACCCCCTAAAAGGTCCAGTGTGTAACATTTAGGACCAGGAGCTCAATAGTAAGTACTGCTTTTAGCAAATGAGTGGTTGGAAGGTGGTTGCCTCAGGAGGCCACACAAGACCTCCACATAAAAGGAGCAGTGTTTGATTCAGCAAGCTGACAGCATGTTTGTGATATGTTGTTCTTTAATGTAGACAAATGTGGTTTTCTACATAGATCTCTGACACTGTGTGCACCCTGATGTGTACTTTTCTCTAATACGCTTTTGTGTGACTATTAGTGGAAAAACGAATAAATTCTGTAAATCAGCATTACACATGTGCAGCTGCATCAACATACACACACGCTCCTACACAGCCCTTGTGAAGTGCCCATATGGCTCAAAGCCTGCAACCAGAAGAGTGGACTTTTAGAAGCAGCAGCAGCAGCAGTAATTAACTTTTCTAAAAACACAATGTGTAATGTAGGCTCTATTTTATTTTATAAGAGATTTATTTTTACAGCACATAGAAAGGCAGTACTGTACTCTGAATCACACACACCCACCAACACACTTGCACACGCCTATGACAGATGCAGTGTTTCACACATGTTGCAACCACTCAGAAGTTTCCATTTACACTGATAAGGGTGTGCTGTTGTGTTTGCACATTTTGATACATCATGTGTTTATTGGAGAATCTGGACAGTATAAAAACTCTAACTGAGTAACAGCCAGACACTTCTTACACTCAGGTAAGAACCCTGTGGTCTTTTACCACTACACTTCAGCATTCATAGTGATAATACTGACATATCAAACTTCAGTCTGACATGGTACATATAACCTGGATGGATTATATGTTTGTGATGAAATAGGTTTCTATTCATACTTGGTATTTTTAGTTTTTTCTCAATTTTTCAGTATTTTTATACTGTCACATCCTTTCATCCTCATCGTCTTCATTCTCTTTCTCTCTGGTTAATGCAGATCTGGTGCAGCCATGTTGGTTTTCTCTTGGTCGGTTGTGATCCTGCTGCTTGGGTCCTCTTCCTGGGCTGAGGTACAAAATTCCAAAAACCACCTCATCTCATTAACAACATGAATGTCGTCATGTGGGTAACACTGGCCGATCCGAAACTGAATATCATAAAAATTATTATAGAAAAAGAGACGCCTCTGAGGTGGCTTCAGGCATTTGATTGGTCACAACACCACATAAAAAGTGACATCATGAAATTTATGTTATATTTTATAACAATGAGTTGAGTTAGAATAATATATGAAATTATAATTTTACATCCAAGCATTCATAGCAAGAAACAACTTTGTTTCATTAGACAAAATTTCAGGTTTCTGGAGGTTTCAGTAAGCTGATTTGTATTCTTTGCTTCCTTTTTCATATCACTGTGGGCGAGCACAGGAAGGTAAGAACACCTCTTTATCCAGATTTAAACCAAAACTGAGGAGTAAATTAGTTAAATTATTTTGATTTAGAATTTCCTTTTTGTGGGGTGTCCTAGTAGCTCACCTGGTAGAGCTCGCCAGTCCACGGATTAGACTCTGTCTTTTGGGTCTTTGCTGTCCGTGTTACCCTCTATCTCCCCCTTCCTTTTACCCTACAGCTGTCACTATCCATTAAAGGCAATAAAAGCCAAACAAAAATTAGATACAGAAAGAATTTCCTTTTTGTGCTATTGCATATTTAATGACATGTTCAAAATGATGATGATGTGCAGTTCATACAGTATATATGGCATATATATACACAATATATATACAATGTGTTGTACAGAGATTGCTACCATTGAGGAGGACACATCCAGGGAGCTTTCTGTCAGTGAACTGCTGGAGAGAGCCAACAGAGACCGCAGTGAGTAGAGCTATTTTTAACCAGACCTTCACCATGTTGTAGTGACCGTATTGTGGGATGAATTAACTAAAACATGCTGTCACTGAGTGCAGCATATTGTTTTCCAAGCATGGGTTACAATACCAATACTAACCTTATACACCCATAGCTACACCTCTAGCTGAATGTTCCGCATACAGCAGTAATGGCAGTGCAGTATCAGGGGTGAATCTAGAGCGGTGGCATGAATGCCTGGCCACCCTAGCTGCCACACCAGTTTGCTGTCAAATTTAACACATTGATTTAGATTTAATTTGAAAAATAATGGGGTAAAAAGACAGAAATTGAAGTAATGATTAGTTATGGCTACATTTTAGACTCAGTGATTGGCTTAAGTTTAATAAAAAATAAACATGTATTTGAAAAAATGAAGATTTGGAAATAAAACAATTTATTAATTTCTACCTTTAAATATTTCTAGTCATTAGTGGTACTAATGTGCCAAAATAATGACTAATAAATACAATAATGTAATAATAATCGTGTTCTTGTCACCAATTAAATAAAACCCATATGGTACATTTTGTAAATCCCTCAAGGTGTATACTTTCTTCATCATGACATTTTTGATATGACACAGTTTAATTGCTGCTTGATTAGACTGAATTACTTATTATACCACTGCTTGTACAGTAAACATACTCAAAATCTACATTTGAATAAAGCTTTATTTGAAAATTTGATCAAATTGTAAGGGGTGTAATTTATTAGCTTAGCAAGCTAGCTCTTTTAAGTCCGTTCTTAAATTATTAATAAGTCTTTCTCTATCTATTTAGTTGACTGTAGGCCATATCTCTGTGGTTTTGTGTTGACGTATGTGTGAGGTCCCCCTTTTTTATGTGAATGCACTAATGCTATTCTTCACTGGAATAGCCATTTAGCATTGGCCCAACTTAAGTGAACATGTTTTCCTAAATTACCAAACAATGTTTGGTAGTGCCCTAATTTAAAAACAAAGTAAACATAATTTCAAAACAACATATGTTTATCTTGGTACACTATTACATCATACATGTTTGTAAATAATTTATATCTACAATATATTAGTCATTCTAATGATATTCATTTGGTCGAGACAGACGACCACCCACCTAGAGCCGAAGGGTCTGTCCGAGGTTTCTGCCTTTTAACAGGCAGTTTTTCTTTGCCCTTGTCACCAAGTGCTTGCTCATGGTGGTACTGTTGGGTCTCTGTAAATAATGTTATAAAGAGTTCGGTCTAGACCTGCTCTATTTGAAAAGTGTCCTGAGATAACCTCTGTTATGAATTAGTGCTATAATAATATAAAACTGAATTGAATTGAACTGAATTTAATTGAATTGAAATGTTTTACCCTTATATTAAAAGTACAGTGTGTAACATTTGGGAGGATCTGATGGCAGAAATTGAATATAATTTTATTGTCCATTGATCTTCTGGCTTTTCCATTGTGATAAGAAGAAAAAGGTTTCAACAGCTTCTGTTCCACACATGATCAGAGTTACTATTGATCTGGAAACCAAAGCCATATGGTGGTCTGAAAAATCTGAACAAACCATAATGCAACAACAGTAAAACAATGTATTTCAAACAATGTATTGCGAGCCCCACACCTGTGTTGGTCTTGCAGCTGCTGACTTTGACGAGCCTGACCTGATTGGAGGCGACATTGCCATCAAGCCTGAGGCCAGCAGAAATGCTGATCCCTGCACCTCCAGAGGCTGCTTGTGGCAAAAGTGGTCTGATGGAAAAGTGTACATCCCCTACTACATTGCCAATCACTACTGTAAGCACTGGTTGTTTTATTTAGATTCAGTTTTATAGGGACAGATTTACTTGATGGACAGACCACACATAATAGCATTTATAGTCACAGCTAATTTACATGGATTTGCCTTTAATTATTTTATACAAATAGCCTACATGTCTCTTTGTAGATTAATACATTAAAAACACCATATGTATCTAATAGAAAACAGTTACCCTTTTAAATCTAATCTAATGCATTAAATTGTACGAGAGCAAAATAAATCTTCTAAGACTCTTTTTATACATATGTATAATTATTGATATACAGGGGTTTTAAGCTATAATTAGTTACTTCACTTAAGATTTTACATACAAATCATATAATGAATTTATAAATGATGTTGTATCATCTTGGTTAAAATCATCACACCATCACCTCTATCACAGCCAACTATGTCAGTAAAATACTACTTACACATCAACGTAACAGTACTAATATTTCAATAATGCATACACACCAGAGGTGTAAGGAAATATTGATTTACTTGGTTATTGCAATATTTTCTTTTGTGATACTGTATTGATTCTAAAAACTCTAGATAGCAATGTTGTAAATGTAAACTGAGAGCTCTGATGTTGGATGTTACAGGGACTCAGTAGAAATGTAGATCCCATTATTCTGGTTGAACAAAAAAATTAACTTTTATTTATTCATTTACTTTTTGAAGAATGTGAAAAAGCTACATTGCTGCAGATAAACCTAACCTGCCATATTTGTCCTGCCAGCCTCCCGTGAAGTTTCCATCATCACTCGTGGACTGGAGTCTTTCTCCTCAGTTTCCTGCATCCGTTTCAGACCCTACCAGAACGGTGACCATGAGTGGCTGAGCATCGAGTCCAGGAACGGGTAAGATTCTGGCTGTATATTCATAACTCAACAGCAGAGTTTGAACATAAACACTGACTACTTGACTGACTAGTTCTAACTTCAACAATTTAAACTTTCAATCAGTATTGTGTCTCAATCGTACATGGATCAAATCTCTGTCTCACTGTCTTTACCAAGATATTTTTAGTTGCCTATTGCAGCTTTAAAGTACCTCAGTCCTCTCTTTCATTCACTTATTCACTTAATAACAATGACTAGTATACTAATGAAAAAATATAGAATATTCATGTTTGGATAGAAAAGATCTGACAGAATGGAACTTACAACCCAATGCATATTTGTTACATCACTGTTCTACAAGGATCAAAGAACAACATTGCCCTTCACAACTTCACATGGCGAATATTTTGTATGATTTCTGCTGCTGACAGACTGCTCTATGTTTATATGTCAACAGCTGCTATTCCTACGTGGGCCGTCAGGGTGGTGGTCAGACTGTCTCTCTGAGCCGTCAGGGCTGTCTGTACCACGGCACCGTCCAGCACGAGCTGCTCCACGCCCTTGGCTTTAACCATGAACAGACTCGCTCCGACAGGGACAACCACATCAAGGTGTACTGGGAAAACATCATTGATGGTTAGACTGTTTCCCCATCTATTACATTTCTTGTACTTTTTAGTCTTAAGAACATGTTTGAACTGATTAATGAAGGATTATCATAGATTTATTAGGTAAACAGGTACACATGTACTTGATTACTATGCATTGTTACAGAGTATAGCTACACCAAATGTGGTGCTTTTGTTTTTTCCTGGTATTTTAAGATGTGAAGCCTCTCTAGGAGGTGAAATTCAGTCACTTACACAATAAGGCAGGAAGGCATAAGCAGAATGGATGAGAGGGAAAGCTGAAAGCCCGTACTGTGCTTATTATTTACTCATTGTCGTCCCAGTCTACATGCATATGAAATTTGGAATCATCCATTTCATTCTAAAAGGATGGCTAAAAACGTATTTTGAGGTCACAGTGTGGTCACAGTAGTGTCTGACCAACAGTGACACAAACTGAATTTTGTCAGGTCACAGTGACCTTTGACCACCACATTCTAACAACAGTTGAGTTGTCAGTCCGCAGCAACTAACATGTTAAAACACCAAAGTCAAAGTGGGTCAGAAAGTGCTGTCTGATGACAGGGTAAAGTGCTGGTACTCCTGTCTGCTTCTCCAAACTGGGGGCACACTGACCACCATGTACTGTAGAAGAAACATGGATTTTAGTTACTCTTTAAATTCAACTTATTGTAGTTGCAGCCGTATATCACCGCAAAGTGTCTGCAAGGTCGCCATACTGGAGAACTTAAGATCTGCTTGTTAACAATATAATGTGTACGGAGATATTAAGAGATGCACATGCTCACTACAAAATAACTGCTGTGATGGCACTGCAGTAGGGCTACTGTTGTGTGCACTCACATTATATTTGGTTAAACATACAATTCAACTCTTCTGAACTTACTATAAAAGCGTAAATGTCTGTGACATTTATATTTTCTCTCACCTCTGCAGGCATGGCGTACAACTTTGACAAGATTAAAACTCTGAACCAGGGAACTCCTTATGACTACAACTCTGTGATGCAATATGAGAAGTATGGATAACCTTATTTGTGTCATTTACTTTAATACATTTACATTGATAATTCAGCTCTCAGTGCCTTATACGTTTCTGACTACTATCATGTAAGCAGTGTATGCTCCTACTGCATATGAGCTATTGCTACACATAGCAGGCAAATTGGATGCTCAGTTAAGTTAGAGCTTGCATTCTGGTTGACTTTGGGAGTCCCATTGTCTGTACTAGCCAGGACAAGAGTTTGTTTATCTCGGACTCTGTGAAAGTAGCATAACCAACGTGAATCTGCTTTTAACATTAAAGAGCTAGAATTGCTCCAATCAAAGTGAAGCTCAACCAGCTTTGCATTGTGCCATCTGTGATTCTACAGGTATGCCTTCTCCAAGAACAACCGTCCCACTATGATGCCCATTCCCAACAGCAATGTGTCTTTTGGCCAGGCCACCCAGATGAGCCAGAATGACATTGACAGGCTGAACAGGCTGTACAATTGCTGTAAGTATTCTGCAGCTTAGCTGGGTGGGAGACAAAACATTACATATAGAGACACATACGCATTTCACTGCCCTCAAAACTGTGTCCAAAAAAAATGCAAAGTGGACCAATACAGTATACAGTACAGTGTAACTTTTTTTCATACATTCATTCCTCATATCCATACTGGCCATGATGAGATTCCTTCCTGAAGTGCTTCCAATGTAAGTGATGGGGAACAAAATTCAAAGTCCTCGTTTTATGCAAAAATGAGATAAACAGATCAAGTAGGGATTCACTGGCTATTATCTGATGATGATTTTGCTTCTGGGAACAAGACTTCCTCTACAGTTTGATGAACAAATTAAGAATGACATTTCAGCTAATCTATACAAATAGATATATTCAATTCAATTCAATTCAATTTTATTTGTATAGCGCCAATTCATAACAGAAGTTATCTCAGGACACTTTTCAAATAGAGCAGGTATAGACCGAACTCCTTATAACATTATTTACAGAGACCCAACAGTACCACCATGAGCAAGCACTTGGCGACGGGGGCAAGGAAAAACTGCCTGTTAAGAGGCAGAAACCTCGGACAGACCCTTTGGCTCTAGGTGGGTGGTCGTCTGCCTCGACATATGCTTATAAATGCAGATACAAAAATCAGTTAACAGCTAAATCATTGTCAGATGATTGCTAGTGGCTTCCAAGTTTGCATTTCAGCCAATATGTTCCACCTCTTTTGCTCTCCACACAGACCATTTACCTGAATGGAACCAAAACCTGCTCAAATGTGATTGGCCAATATTACTCTGACTACAAACTGAAACCAGAATTCTTCCGAGTGTGAATCTATAGGCAAGAGATTCTGCATTCAAATGCAGATTTGTCCACTATGAACACTTAAATTGGAAACACATAAAGAAGCAAAGTCTTCACACTCACAATGGACATGGGGGGGACAAATTAGTATTGTTTTAGACTTCATAAAATGTGAACCTGTTAAAGTCAACATCAGTGGAAACAGTGGCTAGCATCTATCAATCCCACTTCTGCACTGACCCTCCAAAAATGCTCCCCTAATGACATTTTCTTTGCAGAAACTGCATGTGACCTTTTACCTGCTGCCCTGATGAAGGAGATGAGGGTTTCGGGCAGATGGCAGTTTGGGTTTTCGTGCTGTAAAAATAAACCTGCAAACTTTAAAAGTATTAAAAGCTGATTGGCTGTTTAATGAAATAGCAAGAACATCAATTCTGGAGACATTCATGAGACACTTGATCTTGTTTTACTTTCTCATCATTTCATTAAAAAAAACAATCATTAGTGTAAACAGTTTGATGGCTTCTGAGCAAACATAATGCCTACAATTAGTAGCAACAACAATCCACTGTCAGCGTATCCTTATATTTAACAAACAGATGCCAAAGTTGTTTTGATCTTCTCATTTAACTCTCTGCCAGAGGGTGAATAAGGCTACATTCATGTATCTAGTGGCTGGATGCTAATGAAAATCACAGGACTTTTAAGAGGTGGCATTGAACACAGACGTACAGCCATTATATTGGAGTCAGTATCAAGTGTCCCTGTATCATCTTTTCCCTCGAAAATGTCAAAAAAACAGTTCATAGTTTGACCTCTACCTGCTTTTTACAATGTCAGAAAACTGAAAAACTATTTTTTCGTCCAAAAATGGCACTGATTACAATAAATGAGTTGGAATTAAGATGCCACATATAGATACAATTTACATTTTAATATAATGTGTAAAAATGATTTCCTGTAATAGGCAGAAATAGCTTCTGATATGTCCACCACCACCTGTGGAAGTCTCAATTTCAGTTGCATTATCATTATTTGGTAAATGAGAATGTCATCAAGTTAATTTCTTTGTTTTCATCTTCAGATAGAAAAATGAAATATCCTATCTGTCCTTTGAACACACTTTCTCTGGTGTACGTTTCAATCAGGAAGTCGATTTATTCACATCAAAAAAGATGATTTTGCATAATTTCATATAGATGTCCATATAACTTTCTTGAAAATGGATTTCTTTAAATCACAGCTTTTGTTTCCATTCCCCAAAGTTAATCTCACTCTCTGATCTGATTTTCTGCAAGCCTTTTCTCCACTTTATCAGCAGTCAGGTTGAACTGGCAGGCTCTCAGGGCTTTTATCAGCTCCTCTGTTCGGGCCTCTGCTCTTTGACTCTTCCTCCACTCTTTCAGCAGCTCGATCACCGTCTCATCTAGTTCTGTGGGATGTCTCTTGGAGATGGACTCCAGCTTAACTTCGCTCAAACCCAGTTTGCGGCCCAGTTTACGCCAATTCTTTCCCAGGTTCTCTGAGATCACATTGGTGGCAATATCCAGTTTGTCTGAAGGAGGATACAAGGTTGAGGGTTAAAAAAAGATTTTTTTTCTTAATTGTAGGAAACAATTAACATTAAAACAAAGCATCTTTATGGAAAAAATAAAACACACAAACATCTTCCAACAGGCCAACAGTGAGATTTGGCAGCTAACTGGAACAATTGAGAACAGGCCATAACTAATTTAGTGAATTTACATTTCACTTACAGTGACTCACAGTCCAATACAATAATGTCAGAGGTTCATTAAGTGTTAATATAACAGCTGATATCCCTTTTGTATTTGTATTTTGTGTCTTATACCCTGGCCACAGACAATACTCCTTTTTGATTGGCTGGCAAGTCTCTCTTAAATCAGATAGATATCAAGATAGCTCAAATATTAGTTTTAGTCAACAGTTTATTATATTTGAAAATTTAGCTAGATGATATTGGCCTGTTTGTTGCAGATATTGGCTTATAAGCAACAAGAAATTGCAGAACAGCAGAGGTTTTCAAACTGTGAAGGTCCTCACGGGGCCTCCTGTTAACCATGATATTGCCGGCACTTCTCTCAGACATTCGGGTGTTGTTATATGTTTGACATATGTAGATCAGATACTGTTATTCATATAAACTGCAAACACCAAAATTAATAAGCTAGGTATGGAATATAAGCCTAACTTAACTGCCCACAAGTAACATTTTGTCCTGTTGAAAGCTGCCAGATGTCAGTCATAGATTGTTTGTCTACTGACTAGTCTGTGGTGAGATGCTAATGCAAAAATAAATATGGGACAGACAATTTACTTCCATATACTATATGCATAGTCTACTAATATGCTACATAGTACTGTTGCTTGATGTATTTCCAGTTTTGTTCCAGTTACACAACAGACACCTGTCAATGTACTGCACCTTGTCAGGACATTGAAGAAAAACCAGCCATATTACTAAATATGATGGTATTTTTCAGTACATGTCATGGCAAGTTCAGAGAGACTGCTTTCAATGCATTGCAGCTTGTGCCTATAACAGCTAATGGTAATCACAGACTGAGGTGAAGAGTGGACTGGACTGGAACAGGGATTCTTAAATTTTTTTTCAATAATGTACCCCCTTTGAAATATTTTTTTAGTTAGGTACCAGTGCAAAACATTTTTAGTAGAAAACAAAAGATGATATAATGAGGTACAATACAGCTCTGCACCATCAATGTCTGATTTATTAAGAAAAACACTAAAATGCTTAATTTCAAATGCTTAGAATCCATCACTAAATTAATTTTGTCATTATGCAATAACAGTAAGATGGCATTGAAGTTGCATTGAACTGTGTCTGCCTATCGCAGACATGTCGTGTCCGCATTGGTGTATATGTTATCATTTATGACATGAAAACAGTTTTTTTTCCAGTATACAATGCAGAAAAAAATGCATATCCAGCAGAGTGCGCTGTTATTTAAAATACTGTTGCAAACAGCACAGAGTGAGAGAGAAGAAGCAGCTCTCAGCAATGTCAACTCTATCTGCTTGTAAATTATTTAACATTATTTAAAGAATATTTAACTGAAATATTCTTTAATTACCCACAACCCTCATAGAAAAGGTCTATTTTAATTCCAGCTCAATTACACACTATATTGCCAGCCATATTGGCACAGGTGGATCTGCAAGGGCGGCAGCTGCTACCTCTAAAATACAAAAGAGATTTTTTTTTTTACACTCTGAAAAAAATAAAATATATTTTTTATGGTGCATTGGCAGCTGTGGTTGCCAGAAGTTTATTGTGATAAATATGGTAGAACTTTTTCTTTTACTTTTCTATTTATATTATTATTATGGTAAAATTATATTAGAACTGTCCAGTTTTAATCCATAATTTACCGTATAAATACAAGTCATCAAAATAGATAGTTTTGCCATATGAATGCCCGTGGAGGGACTGTGGTTTTATGTGCAATTTATTCTATAATATAAATAAACTACATATAGTGTTTTACTGTTGAAGAAACTTTTACCCATTTAGAATTCATGGTCTTGTACTGTCATCAGTTTTTCACTGTAAAATCTACAGAAAGTTTCTACAGTGCACCTGTCAGCTAGTTTGGTGTCAAATGCTGTCAAATTTAACACATTAATTTAATGATTAATTTGAAACATAACATTTTAGACTAAGTCTATATTATGTATTTGGACAAATGTCTGAAGATTTAGAAATAAAACAATGTATTGGTTTTTGTATGAAGTTTTTAAGTCCAAATATCATATCGTTGTAATTGTTTGTGATTAAATCAGCATATATTTCTGGCAGCCCTTAGTCTCCATGCCACCCTCTGGACACCCCATGAATATTTCTCTGGATCTGCCCCTGCATATCAGAAATATTTGGACCCACTAAAATCGCTATCCCTGTCTATCAGCATGGGTGTAATTGTGTTCTACTGACAGGTGTTTCTATTATTTTGTCCAGCACACTTTCTTGAAACGGCAGGTGTGACAGTTTAACTGGTGGTTGAATTAACTGGTGATATTCCAGAGCATTGCTGCAGATCTGTACACTAGAAATACTGACTGAATTTACTTCTTTTTATCATTTTAACCAACCAGAATGAAATCCGTAACACTGTAACACTCCAGTTCTGATTTCAAATAAGATTAACGGAGTTACCTGGAGTTTGAATTCATTTTATTTGCGACGGAGATCTCCTGACGCTTGAAAAGAATGACACAGTAGGTGACTGTGTCGATGCCTGTTCCAAACACTGCAAATGTCAATAAGCAATTCAGAAAATGTTTTTGCTGTCGTTTTACGAATCCTTATTAATCTGATGTCCAGTCTATTTGAGAAGAGTTTATACTGTCACACAGTGTGTAAGGAAACATACAGTCTGCAGTATATGTTTAATGCATTGTGGAGTCAGCTGTGGCAAAGCGTGATACGCCCAGATCAACTGGTGATAGCCTACAACATTTTACCATCGATCATGTCGCGTCTACACTTTTATCTCACCAATCACAATGATATTATTTACACAACAGCACACTCTTTCTTCCAAGTTAGACAACTGTGAAATCTCATTTTGCAATAGGAACAGAAATTGGATAAAGTTAAAACTTTAATCAGTAGAGGGGCTACACTATACAAATCCGATTCACATTCACAACTTTGTGGGATTTTGAATAAATGGGACAGAGATTATAAGATGTGATAGAATTGTGGTATTATATATAGAAACAGTCAGTATATGTTTAATACCATGTTGAAGTAGAGTTGTGGCAAAGCATTATATGACCAGATTAACTTGTGATGCAACGTCTGTCTACCATTGATCACGTTTCATATTAAAGTTTATCTAAACTTTTATCTTTTATTTATATTCTTTATGTCAGCAAAGTCTTTCAACCAAATTAGATATTGTAATTAATTTGGCCAATATGGGCAGAAGTTGGATGCCCAGCTGAACACAACTTATTCAAATCCACAGAGCTGTGACATTCCAGCAAACATGTTGACTGAATCTTGTAGACTGTTGGGATGAGTGAGCGAAACGTCTAGATTTTAGTATTAAACCCGATCGTCAGTAAATACAGATAGTGTAGCATGAATGAATGTGCACTCTGCCACAGCTGACACAGTTCTCCACACTGCTTGGAGCGTAAACTCAGACTGATTCATTTATAGGCTGGATGAATTACACACATTAAAAACAACTATGACACAACACCGATTACATGAGGATTTTGGACGTTTTGTTGACATTTGCAGGGTTTAGTCACATACATTACCATTCCCTATAGTCCTCACTTTATTCTCTTACAGATTTGAGAACCTGCTGGTTCCTGAGGAATACATAAATATTCATTGTGGAGACGTTTTTGTGAAGGTTTTTTTTTATCACATCAGAAACTACGAGCTTTGAGCTCATCATCTCAACCAGTCTCACTCAGGAGAATATCACCTGTTAATCCAAACTCGAGCTACTCCGTTAATGTGCTTTTACAACAGTGCGAGCGTGTGGTTGCCTTTATAGGCCTACACAATTTCATTTTGGTGTGTTTAAATTATTTTAAATAGTTAGTGTTTCTAAGATGTATTGTAAAGCTATTGTATGATTACTATATATGATATCCAAAGGAGTCTTAGATGTATACTCGGGAAAGACTCTGAAACAACGGTAGCGATCAGCAGCTGTTAATGTCTCCATGACAGTGAATAATAGTTCCGTAGTGAGGAGCAGACACCAACATTATTGTTCCAGCACAGAGTTTCTATCGCAGTGTTTTAAAAGTCACCAACAACTCAATGTCATAGAAGTAGTCAGAATCTTTATTTCCTGGTTCGGCAATAAGGGGTCCTAAGAAGCCACGCCTACACACATCTGCCTCAGTATCACCAGTTAACTCAACTCCAGTTAAACTGTCACACCTGCTGCGGTCTGAACACCGCCCCTGCGGCTCCACACGGTGCGTACCTGTCTCCGCCTTGTCCGGGACTTCGGGACATCCAGGCTGACTTTCAAAACAGTTTAATTTGTGTGCGATGTCGTCCCGGTGAATTTGAGTAAGAAGCCGGCACAGGTAGTCCGTGTTGTCGGGAGCCAGGCGGCCTCTCTCCGTCAGGATCTGGAACAGTCTCCGTCCGGTGTCGGTCTTCTCCAGGTCTCTCTTCCCGACCAGGTCTCGACACAGAAACTTCAGCTGCTCCAACTGTTCAGAGGACAGCTGGTTCGAAATCTCCAGCAAAAGAGCGTTAAACTCGAAAGAGCTCATGTCTCTGATACAGACTGCACCCCGCTGACAGATATCTGTCTGAACTAGGAAATACTTCATTACTTTTACTTTCACTTCCGTTTGTTTATCTGCTCTCTCTCTCTCTCTCTCTCTCTCTCTCTCTCTCTCTCTCTCTCTCTCTCTCTCTCTCATCAGATCCTGATCCAGGACTTTTTAATTATTTAAAAAATGTCATTAATAGTAACAATAGCAACTGGGGGAGAACGGACATTTTTTTATTAGTTTTTTAAAAGTTTAGTTTCAGTTAGTTGGCAGCCCATTTCCGGCTCTGTGAGGGGCGATTCAGTAAGTCAGTACAATGAGAGAGTTTATATATAGTATTGATAAATATTGACTTAGTATCGCAAAATAAGGAGAAACTTAATTTCGCAATATTTTGACATAGTCTCTCAAAATGATATCTTTGTGAAGTCAATATTTTGAGAAACTTTCTTATTCTAATGACGTCAGAATTTTGTTTTAGTTTCATTATTAGTTGTAGTTGTAAAATCTTAGACTTACTAAAGATATTCATTATCATTTTTTTAATTGGAGTTATTTTTGTAAGTAGATAATATTGTTTCAGTCAAGTTTTTATTTTTATTTCTGTTGACTTAATTGTCTTTTACACCTTTTAGTTTTTAATGACCTTGGTTGTCACATAGGTAGGTTGTCACATTCATTAGATGTCACTTCCTAGAAGGCACTGTTAAAAAATGTTGGGACTGAAATTCCAGAATTGGGGTCACCTAAAGGGTCATTGCAGGAGTATGGACAAAAAGGACCTGTATCCAGAAAAATTAAATGGTTATTTTTCTCCATTAAATCACGTTGGGACAACCAGGGGTGTGTCCAGAAGAGGGGCCTGGGGTGACACTGGCCAGCCCTGAAATCTGATTGGCAACCCCAAGAGCCACCCCATTATCCTTTCCTCTTCCAGTCACACTGTCTTTTAGAGGCTGGAGCGGGATCTGTTTTAAAGCCAGAGTGAATCATAATATCATAAACTAGACGACGTAATGCATCCACTGGTACCAACAATGCCATGCTAGCATGTTGAGAAGGGGGCTAAATGACGCTCCAAAGTCTGGCTGAATTTTGGTGATGAAAAAACTGGCATAGCCATTTTCAAAGGGATCCCTTGACCTCAAGATATCAGAATGAAAATGGGTTCCATTGATACTCACCAGTCTCCCCTGCAGACATACCCACTTTATGCTAATCCCATGCAGTTTTGGGTACATGGGGTGTCCACCAGGTGGCATGATTTACCACAAAGCATACATTTGTCTTATTATGAAGAATTATCTCAGAATTATGAGATAATAAGTCTTTTATTCAGATTTCTTTCTCAAGTAAATGCAATATGCTTCTGTTCTTAAGTGGTAAAATATGAAATTAATAATATACCAAAATGAAGTGAAATGTAGGGATTTTCCATACACAGTCAGGCAGTTCAGCTCTCATTTATTTGCAGTTAATTCAAACAAAAATAAGACTCCAAATATTACAGACAGACAAATCGGTCATACATGCATATACACTCACACATTGTGTTATGTGCTTTGACATACATTATAATAGATATTGGCATGTCACAACTTGTAGTGTGTATTGATGCTGTAAATACAACATAGCAAAGGCAGGAGGAGGACATCTCATGAGGGACATAGATGGAGAATCTTCACATGTGACATCGGGTTATAAAAGGAAAAAAAAAAATTCTAGCTAAAACAGGCTCTGCAGCCTTGTGGCAGCACATCATCTATCACTAATATCAATGCTAACCCTACTTACATACATAGTATTAAGGTTTGAAAAAAATATGCAACGTCATATCCCAGAAACGTCTTTTATGATCAAATGTTTTTGTACGCTGTATTGGAATGTATTCCCAGGATACAAGATACAGCCAAATAGGTTAATGTTTATTGTTTCTAGTACATTAAACAATTAATTAAATTAGGACAATAAGATAAAGTATATCTCTGTCATTGTGAAAGTGTCTAGTTGATAGATCAGTAGTCCCCTGCGGGCTGACAAAACACATTAGATACACTTAGAAATGCATTGTCATAAAAACAAACAAACAGATATACAACATTTTGACCTAAAAGTGATTACAAATCACTGAAAATGAAAAATGTAATAATACATTCTATTAGTCTGGGTTGATGGCTTAGATTTGGGGCAGTTTAATATATTTACAGCAGGGTGCAGGACCTGACACATCGACGAATGTAGACTGTACATGTGAATGGACATTTCAGTCTACAGTACATTTACGTTCTTCAAAGTAATATGCAGTCACTCCCACATATATTTTTGCAGTTTGATAGATACAAAACAAAATATTATTCAGTCTTTGTGCTTTAAGAGTTAAAACGTCGCAGCTTAAATGATTCATACGGTTAGTATAAGGCAAGATAATAATATTAAAACAGTGCTGCCTTTCCTGGTATGACAATGTATCCCTTCCTATGCTGACTGGAAATCTCAAATGTGATAGTTTAGAGAAGAATCACTGGACCAGCTGGGACAATATAAGACAGGGTAAGAGCAAGACACTGGCACTGCTTTCCAGAGACATGGAAAATTCCTACTTTAGTAAAAAAATGTCACACGATTGAAGATTCCTAAATTCCATTTGATTGGTACGTACTCATACCACTACATGCAACTTTAACATGAGTACAACCTGTAAATCTGTATGACGAATAAAAATACATTTGAAATTGACATTTTTTTTTATAATTTACAGTTGCTAATCTCTATGCTGCCTAGCTAGGTTGTATTACCAAAGTATTATTAGCTGCTGCAGTATGGGGAAATTGAGTTCACTCAGCAAAACCTAATAAATAAAGCTGAGCAACTTAACGCTATGTAAAGGTGTGAATGGATTTAATCAGAGAAACAAAAATAATTTACTTGAAGCAGCATGAGCCAAAATTTCCCATTGTTGGTTTAAAGGTGAATGGTGAAGAATTGTGTCAGTAGTTACAGGAATGTGGTCTGAACCAACTCTGTAAGGTGCCTCAGTAAACTCCACCATGCCCCAAGTTTGTTGATTGATTTTGTGGCCACTGGGGGGGCCGCAGACCCAAAATGAAAACACAACACTGACACCTTTTCAGTTGATATGGTGAACGTGTTAACAAGCATCTGCATATATATATATACTCGTCCAGCAGACACAGAGCAACATTAGCATTCATTAATCTTGCTGATTATAGCAGCTAATATATACACAAATCACACAATTATATGCGTCTTTTCTGCAAAAAAAGTTTAATTTCCACATTCCAAAGTTTTCTTTTTAAAGGCTGGAGGCGTGCTTTAACTATGGGTCACGTCATTATGTGTAAGGTAAAAGTTGCTGCTCAACGAACCAACAGAGAATTATCAACATCTCTGCAGATGCCCTCAGCTCTACAAAGTTTTTTGGTGTCTTGCAGCTGGCAGATGTTTTCTCAGATAAAACCAACTGTACATTTTCTGCTCAGCACCAAACAGCAGAGAGAAGTTAGCAATTAACCTAGAAACATAATGAATGCTAAGGTTTCTCTGTGTTGGATGTATAAACAACTGCTTGCTAACAAGTTTACACTAATGGCTCCATATGGTGACAATGGATCCATGCTGTGTTTCGAGCTCAGTGAGGTGAGATGGAGCATGACATAATTCTGTGTTTACTCTGTAAATGTTCATCTTCAAGAATTCCAGTTGATTGGAATGAATAAAAATGTGACTTGTGCTTCCAGGAATAATGGCACTGAGTTCTGATTATTCATACTAAGAATGTAACAAATTATGTAACACGAGCGATAGAGTGCAGAAGGAATGTGTCCTAAAACCCAGGAATTAGTTAACATTTTAGCACTTCACTGGTTCCCTCATCTCAAAGTCAATGGGTTTTTGGTTAAATGCCTGAAATAAGGTTTGTGGTTAGAAGATGTCATGCTTTCTTCTACAGCATAAAGTATGCTAACCTTTGAATTTTTAAGCTTTTAAGTGTCTTAAAAAAGGCAGATGCTAACAAGTGGCTAAATGAGACTTACTAGTCCACCTTTACAGACTTGTGTAAAAACTTGTGCTCTTGCAAACTCTTCCCACCCACATTTTTATTGCAAGATTTAATTACAAGTTGGAAGTTTAGTGGTGGTGGCTTTTTACTTCTGGCGATCGCATTTATGCTTAAAAAAAATATATATATCATAAACCTTTACTCGCTACAGAGCTTATTCTCTTTGTCAAAGGAACCAGGTGCTAACTTCTGGGTTGGACTACAAAAATAAATTATCCCTGCAGCACTTTATATTATAAATAGTATACTTATACAAGAGAATAGTAAAAATCAACAGGCCGCTTGACACAGAAGGTCTTCCAAAAACCTTGCTGTTCACCCAAACAATCAAAGTACGTGTCCCTGACCATGCTGCATATTCAAAAAAGTACATGAATAAATTCCTGCATTTGAATATAATTGTGCAAAAAAAAAAAAAAGGCCTATCAGAGCTTTACACACTGATGGCAGGAGGGAATATCTCCTAGTGTTTTGTATCTCAGATACCAGGAGGGCAGTCTTCTCAGCAGGATGACTTGGACGGATTGACGGAGGCTGTGTTCTATACAAAAATTGCATTCAAGCACCGTGGTAGAGGTGACAGATATGAGCTTACGGCTTGGAAATGTGATTCACATTAGGTTTGGCACTGCTTTCTCAGGAGTCCTGTATGATGATCTCATCTCAACAACAAAGTTTCCCAGAGTCAAATAAAGCTAATGGCTTGTTCCTTTCAAATACATCCAATATATAATGTTTTGGGATCATAAATCTTGTGAGTATTGTCTAACTACTGTTGGATTTTTGGTTAATGGCTGACCACGCAATGTCTGGCTTGCTGTAAAAGTAACATCTTAACATTGGGAAAGTGTGAGAAAGTGGCAAACAGCGAGTTTCGAATGTGAAGGAATTCTAATGTGAACGCATCAGAGCTAAGGTTTGAACTCTCATGTTATTGCTGCAAATATATAACGCAGCAAAAGCTTTGCTGATTATTAAAACAGATTATGTGTAAATGGATAACTTAACCTTTACCAGCTAGCTTAAAGCAGCTGATTAACTTATTTACAGTTTGTATACAGGTGTAGTGTTTGCTTGTTGCTGTTCTTGCTTGTTTTCCCAGACACCGGCAGCTAGCAGTCTAACTGCAGTTTGCTTGCGAGATGGGTCGTGAGCGGGGCTGTGGTGGACTCTTATTGGCTGACGACAGGGAGGTGCAGTTGTCCCAGTTTTGGTTGTCCCGTGCTGCAAGCCTTTTGCCCTGCTCCTCCTTCATAAAGAGCTCCACCATCAGGATCTTCTCCTTGTGCATCTGCAGGCTGATGTCCTTGGGGATGTCTGGGATCAGCCAGTCCACAAAGTCACTCATCAGCATCACCACATTCTGCACAGGACAGAGGGAACAGAGGAACACACCTCAGATACAAACATTTCACTGAAGCATACAATCAGAGTGCAAACTACAAACATGAGCTCTTCTGAAAATGTTTGTGAAAGGGGGTCTCTGTAATACTGACAATATTCTATTTTTGCCACCTATTTCTAATTTTCGTCATCATCATGGATTATATGTAAACTTGGGCTACTGTTGGTGTATGATTTGTGCATGAGGGTGATTCATCACTAATTCACTTTAATACAAATACTGCTATTCTTGCCATCACCATTAAAGCGTGGCTGCACAATATCATTAACTTCAGAGCAGAAAATATACATAAAATAAATGTTTCTAGTCCCACTCTGTCAGCATGCTGAATCGCTGTTATTCATTTCTCTATTTTGTAGAGCCATGGTATGTCCGCACACATGTGCATACAACCACAGATTTTCTGGCCTTGTAACATTAAAGCCTATATAAAGTGTTTGTTTATATAAGCTGCGAAATGCTGAAATAGTGTAATGGGTCAATTATGTACATACATATATATATATATATATATATATTGCTTTAAATGCCAACCAAACCATTGTTTTCCTGTGACGCAAGCACGCCAGTTCTGCGCCACATGTCACGTTTTTCTAGCAGTTTTTAAACACACATTAAAGTTACAATATTCTCAATATTGGCCTGGAGTTGCATAGCTCTTCAATGTCACACTTGTTTTCAGGTTTTTGTGTTTATTATTTAGTATAGCATAATACAATAAAATTATTTGATTATTATATTATTAAATGGCAATCTTTCATAATTATGAGATTAAATCATAATTTTGACCTATCAAGTCAAACCGTTGCTATATTAGTATACTATATTCTTTAACATATGATTTTTTACTTTTAAGACATTTTTGTATTTAATTATAAATAAATACATATAAGATATAAATAAATCAAATTAATTATTTACACAATCAGGTACATGTTTTCCTCCAGAGGAGCTCTGAATCCAAAAGGCTCAAATATACAGTACAATATATTTTAAAATACATTATATTTTACAGCATATTTCACTCAGAGGTCATGTTTGTTTACTTTGCCTTTTACATAAAATATGAATGACGCAAGTGAGCGGCATTCAGTATTGATATTAATATCTGTGTTGTTGTGAGTGTTGTTCCAAACCTGAAAAACAATGACAAAAGCAAGACGTGCGGCCAGAACGGCCCAGAACTCCTTAGAGAGTTCATACGGTGTGCTGGACCATGGAGGCTCCCTGTAGTCCTTATATCTGGATGGAGAAAGACAAAGAGTCTCACACATGATTTATTTAGATTGGATGCTTTACTATTCAACACACAAAATACAGATGCTAGCACTGTATGATAGTATTTGCACTTATGTTAAAGCATACATGCAGTACAGTTCTCTGAGAGACGATAGTTATTTGGGAGGTTTCGGCATCAGAATGACAGCAGCAGATTTAATTCCAAGATCAAGTGCACCGGGCCTTACCTGCACATGTCTACCTTGTAGCCCAGGTGCATCGGCTGGAGAGGGTCTGTGCCTTTCTGGAAGTCAGTGACGTTGAAGTAAGACAGAGTGTGATTGACAAAGCCATGCATGGTGCCATCGGGGCTGTACATGTACTGGTAGACCAGGCGTGGGATGAAGTCAGAGGTGAAGGAAATCACAAAGGCCTGGGGGAACAGAGAACTGTCTTCATGAAATGAAATGGCCAGGTTAAACCACAACTCCTTCCTGATTTCTGGATTCTCCTTAAAGCTGCAATAGGTAACTTTAATTAAAATGTCTGAGAAAAATAGTTGATTGTTGAAGCGTTGGTATTTGATGACCTGCGAATGAGACTCAACGATCAACTATATTTCTCGGTTCTGATTGGTTGTTTTCGTTCAGGCCCGGTGGATTCTTGCCATAACAATTAGGAGCACTAGGAGGAGCCAGAGGAACCTGATTTTTTTCACAGATTATCTGTCTCATGTGACACTGACTTAACATTTTGATTCATTTTGATTTTGTGGAAATTCTTTATTAGGAGTAGTCCCTAGATTTATTATCTAATTTTCAGGTCTTCAACAACAAAAACACTATAATTACTACAAGCACACAAAACATTAAACAAAAATAACAACAAGGTTATTAAATTAAATATGACAAATCTCTTTTCTTGCTGTGCTGCCAGGCGGGAACTCTGCAACATGTTTTGACTCAAGATGTCGGCTGATATTAGCTGCCTTGAACACAGCAGTTGTCATTTGGCAAATTAAACACAGTGTTTAGGATTGGTATGGTATGTTTTCATTGTCAACCTGTCTACATTTGCTGTCCTCAATCATCTTTGCCAAGAGGCGAATCTAGTTGCAGCAGTCCCCACCCAGGTCAGGTGTACGTGAACTCTTTGCAGAAATAAAGGGTCACCACTTCTGTGCACTGCATAGATCACTGATGACTATTATGCAACTTCCAGGCGAGGGACATTATTGAACATTTACTATTTGGTATCAACAAACAAACATTTCCAGTGTTAATCAATTTATTTTCATTGTGAATTATAAAATGGTGAGCGAGCCACCAGACACCCTGTTACCATGTTAAAGCATTTTTCAGACCAGCCCTGGCATGTTTTGGAACAACAACTGTAAAGTGACTGTAAAGATACCACACTTACATTAACAATGACTGCTACCTTGCTGAGGCCTCTCAACAGGTTGTACCAGATACCTGCAGAGAGACAAAGGAACAGTCAATTAATTCCAGCATGTAAATACTCTACAGCAGGGGTGTCAAACTCTGGCTCGAGGGCCAAATCTGGCCCGTGGTGTAATTATATTTGGCCCGTGAGATAATATCAAATTTCTATTTGAGCTGGCCCGCCAGGTAACGCATGCAATGCTAATACTACAAATCCCAGAATGCTCTGCAAGAGCCTTGGCGCGTCAAGACCCGCAAGCATCCCCTCCTCTGTTTTCATTCATTCGCAACATCATGCTACCAGTCACCTCGGGCAGATGTCAGACACCCCTCCCAAAAAATGACCAAACGGAAGATGGAGAACAGGAGCTTTCTAGACAGGTGGGAGACAGAATATCTGTTCACGACCGTAAAGGACAGACCTGTTTGTCTTGTGTGCGGAGCCAACGTGGCTGTAACAAAAGAATATCATATAAGAAGACACTATGAAACGAAACACCACGACAAGTACAAAGACCAGAGGTACTACCAGAAGGTAGAGGAGATAGAAAGAAGTTTGGTTTCACGACAGACTATGTTCACAAAGGCCACGTCCCAAAGTGAAGCTGCTGTAAAGGCTAGCTTTATTGTGGCAGCTAAACCCTTTACTGAGGGAGAGTTTGTCAAAAACTGCATTGTCAGAGTTTGTGACGTTGTGGTGCCCTGATAAAAGGAAAGCATTTTTAAACGTGAGCTTGAGCAGAAACACCGTTGCTGATCGTACATGTGAGCTTGCCACCAATCTACATGAACAGCTGATGGAAAAGGAAAAAGATTTTGTTGCATTCTCATCATTTTATTTTTATTTTTTTGTTGTTGTTGGCCTGTGAAAAAATTATTCCATTGAAAATGAACTGAAGACGCTACAGATGGTGAAAGAGGCATAATATAATTTTTATTTAAGAAATGAATGCCACTGATGTGTCCTTTATTTGAAATTGATTTCTCAGGTGTTTATAGTATTAAGCTTTGCTTGTTCCAGATTAAGTGTTTAAGTAAAACCTAAAAAAAATTGCATTATTATATCTACAAAGAAAGGAAATTTTTTTTTTCAATAAATATGAAATCTGACTTTGTCCCAATTTTTAATTTTGACCCACTGTGTATCTGAGTATGACACCCCTGCTCTATAGGTTCAGTAAGTACCAGCCACCACTAGATGGCACAAGCACTCTCTGCACAAGATGCAGAAAGAATTCACTGTATGTTATGAGCTGACAGACAGTATCTTTCTTTTGGTGTGTTTTTCATAAATACATCGTCATCTAATGATACATTTTATATTTGTATCATTAGATGATGAAAATGATTGTTGTTTTCATACATTTGCTTTAATCCTAGTGCCAGAAATTATCTTTGATTTAAATTAATGAGGTAGTTCAGTCCTGCCTTTATCAACTTCTCTTTGTTTCAAAAAACATTTAGTCATTTTCTGACATGGAGAAAGTAATTCAAGCTTTTATCTTCTCTCTCTCTTTATCTGCATGACTGGCAAAGCCTGCTCACACCTTCCAACCCCATTTCAGCTCCTTTGCATAGGCTTCCAATTGATTTTAGAATTAATTTAAAGGTTTACGCATTACTTTTAAAGAACTCTTTGACACTCCGACTCCAACTTACATTTGTGAGCTTTAGTGCCCATATATACCTGCACTCAACCTCAGGTCTTGCAACTAGCAGTCCCCCAATTTAAACTAAACAAGACTGTGCTCTTTGCTGGCAGGACCCCAGACTCTGGAACGGCCTCGCTGTTAAAATCTGACTTTAGTGCCTTTAAATCTTTAATAAACTCTTTTGTCCAATTTGTTTTGTAACAATCATTTTTGCTTGACTAATAACGTTTTGTGTAGCACTTTGAAAGGGGCTATTTTAAGGTCATTATTATGACTTTTTGTCTGAGGTAGTGTAATTTCTAACACTGCCCACATACAGTGAGGTGAAGACCAGTTTATCAAAACTAATAGCACATCTCCTCTCCTTCTTCTTAGGGCTCTTTTCTGGGATTTTCACCCTAATGAAGGTGATGTAGTTGAAAACATCTAGAGGAATAAGCACAACATATTGGGAAAGACTTGTTTGGCTTCATTTGTTTCAGTTGCGGTAGTGACACCTACCAATGTCCTTGGCTTTGGCTGCAATCGGCCTGCGCAGCTCCATAACAAACTTCTTGGCATCCAGGCGAATTTCAATGATGTTGTTCAGAAGAGCGAAGAGTGGAGCCAGAGGGAAGGAGGCGACGAAAAGTGTCACCATCCCAAACTGGATGACTAAAGACACAGACAAGAGGAGAGGTCAGCAGAAGTTACTTGATGAACACATTGTCTTTTGCTTCAAAAAGTGAAACCGACTGCAGACACCTTAGGGCAGACACAGTTCAGTAGTGCAATGCTAGGCGGTGATCTACCAAGATTAACTGAGGAGATATAAAGGTTGGAGCTGTGATAGCTGCACTAGAAGCGGAAATCTCACCTAAATTAAAGATGGATTATGTTTTTTTAGTCACTTTAAAAGTAAAACATTCAACATTTTATCACTTATCACAAACATCACAATACATTTATCTCACAATTTGTTTTAGTTTTTTACAAAATGAGTATGAAGACAAATTAGAACATTTTGTCCTCAAAGTTGATGTGTTAGAAGCAGGACAAAATGGGCAGCGTGAGGATTTGAGGAACTTTGACAAGGGCCACATTGTGATGGCTGGACGGTCAGAGCATCTCCAGAACTGCAGCTCTTGTGGGGTGTTCCCGGTCTGCAGAGGTCAGTACCTATCAAAAGTGACCCCAAAAACCAGGGTGCCCAGGTGGTCATAATGTTATGGCTGATCCGTGTATCTTTACATTCCTACTTGTTTTCCACATACCAGTTTTCCATCTATACATAACAGAGTTGAAAAATATCATGTTCAATATTTTGTTTCATGAAATTGTATCAAAACACTGTATTGATTGTTGTGTTGTTAACATGTTGCAGGGATTGTGATAAATACAAATGCATACCAATGTCATGGTTACATAAAAAAGTAGAATAACTTGAAATAGAAAGGAAATAAGGACAGAGAGAGGGGATGGTATGCAGCAATGGGCCACAGACTGGAATCAGACATGGGCTGATGGGGTAACAACTTCAGCCTTAGTACATGGGGCAAAAGCTCTACTAGGGCAACCCAAAGTAACTCTTCCAAAGTAAGTTTTACTCAGATTTTATGCCTATGTTGGTGTGTTCTTTATAAGTTTCCCTAGAATTAGATAAATAAAAAAAACACATATTTATCTTGTCGCTTACAGTAGCGCAATATATTGAATCGTTAACCTTTTAACCATATGTTTTGTAGTGTAACACACACTGATGCTTATTATTTGCTTCACTTTCAGTTATGTTGCACCTAATTGTTTGTTACACCTGATTGACCTATGCTATCTACAGTATCTACAATCAGTGCTGAGACATTTGAGAAGGGATTTGTTTTGCAGTGTAGCACTGTTTAGAAAAGAGGTTACAGGTTGGGTTGTTACTGTTGGACACCTTACGCATCGTACATAATGTACAGTGTACACTGAAACTCCCAGTGTATAACATGGATGTTATTTGTGTGATGCAGCAGGTAAACTGGCTAACTATCTCACTTACCACCAGAGATACATTAACACACTGCTGCACTGCTTTAGCAACCTTTCTTTTAAATGACAAATATTGATCAAGGACATGAATAAATAAAAGTATTTAGCTTAAAGTAGCGTTAATATTCTCTGGGATGTTTGGTAACAGGATACACCTCTGCCAGTCTTTATTATATAGATCTCCTTCTCTCATTAAGGATGTATGGATCAGCTGCTTAATAATATAGATTCTGAAAGAGCAATTACATGGCTGCAAGGACCATGAGATCTGAGCAGGCACATTAAAAGCAGGACACTTCAATCAATTTATCTTAATTAAACACACACATACAGGCACATGCACATAAAGCTCTGGTGCACATGACGCATGATCTAGCCAAGGTTTCCACATCGCTGAATGACTGCTGTGAAATTGGATATTATTAAATTAAAGGTCAAAACAGCGCACCTCAACATGGAGATTATTTTGTATTGCAACTGTTTTTAAGTGGGGGAATATGTTTGCTGGTTCTCTTCATGAAGCTAACAATTTGTGCTATAAGGAGCTGACATTTTATAATGTCAAAGGTCTGACCTTAAGCAGGAGCAAGGAAAACAGGATAGACTGAATGTGTTTGTTGGTAGAAGCTGTGCATTAAGTGGATCGTTTCAACAGCTCCACATACAGGCCTGGCATATGTACTACAACGTTTTGGGTCGTCGTGTGAATACGTGTGGACGCAGATATTTCTGGAAACGACGCCGTGTTTACAGAGATTTTTTTCGAAACGACATCGTATTGGGTGAGGCCGCGTATTCGTGATGACAGGCCCTTAGAAGAGATGAAGATGAGGACCTTTGCTGTTAGCAAACATCAAGTAAGAGAGGGAAGAATAGGATCAACAAGGATGAAACTGCTCCACAGTCATAGTTTTATTTTAGGCACAAAATAAAAAAAGCCAAAAGTCCAAATTACTTTCAAAAAAATGTACAGACCAAAGTAAAAAACAAAAGAGAAGCAGTGTGTATGCTGCATATGTTTAGACTCACTCATCTCCATGTACTCCGGGCTGAGGCCAACAAAAGGACCCAGGATGTGGTCTTTCTCGTGGCGCTGCAGGGTTTTGTTCAGCTCCTCCTCTTGCTTTGAGTCCAAATCTGACTTCCTCCTTCGGAGCAGTTTCTTCAGCTTCCTGCACATACCAAGAGCCAATGGAAATAGCACATTATAGCAGATGTTTATAAAGCCTGTAATACACTGTTCTTTAACATAAAAGTGTAACATACACAAGTTTTTAGGTCCCCTAAATCATCTCAGACACATCTTTGTAATTTCTGTACTTGTTACGTCTCAGCAACCAATATATATAGATATATATATATATCTATGATAACCTAATATTGGCTGATATTATCATATTAAAGGACCAGTGAGCATCCAGTGTTGAAGTTACAGATTACAACCCCCTCCCATCACCCTCCCATTGCAAGTGTGAAGAAGAAACTACAAGTTAAAGACCTTATCTAAAGCCAGTGTATGGTTTGTCCATTCTGGGCTACTGTAGAAACATGGCAGTTCAACATGGCAATCTGTAAAAGAGGACATGGTCCCTTTGTATGTGGACATATAATATATAATAATATAATGGACGTGTACTTGTATAGCGACTTTCTAGTCTTTTGACCACTCAAAGTGCAATGCAAGGCATTGGGAGCAATTTGGGGTTCAGGATCTTGCTCAAGGATGCTTCGACGTGTGGCACCAGGGGCCGGGGATCAAACCCATAACCTTCCGTTTAAGGAACGACCCACTCTACCTCTGCGCCACAGCCGGACCCTAGATAAAAACTCTTTATTCTAAGTTAACAAAAACATTCTTATTTTCAGGTGATTATATACTAATGAAAACAGTTTTAGCTAGGTACAATTAGCTAAAACTAATACAATCTAATATAACAGTTCTGTAATAAATCATAATTTTAATTATTCTAATGTTCAATTTGTGTTGAAACTGTTTAAGAGTATTGATTCATCTGTGCGATCATTTTGGAGGATGTGTGTGTGTGTGTGTGTTTGTGGTGTTATTGAACTGAATTTCATTATCATATTTTTTTATCATATTTCATTTCATTTTGAATATTCTTTACATTTTTTGATCCATCCTCATTTTAGTGAAACATGACATCTGGAATATTGGTAAATAATTGGTGATACTTTAATCTGAATCTCTATCACTGTTGGATATAGGGTGGTTGTAGCTCAGGAGGTATGGCGTGTCGTCCACTAACTGGGAGGTTGGTGGTTGGAGCCCCGGCTCTTCCCACTGCATGTGTCCTTGAGCAAGATACTGAACCCCACATTTCTTCCAATGCTTTGCATCAGTGTATGAATAAATTACTTTCTGTTGTGATGGCCTTTGTCATCACTGTATAAATGTGGTGCTATATAAGTACAGTCCATTTACCATATCAGCTGTATGAATTCTAACTGTGGCATAGGTTATAACTTTGGTTTTGGGGGACTATGTGATAAAACATCCATTACAGTGTACTGTGAGGATAAAGCGAGTCAGAGAAAATTGTAGGCTGACAGAGTTGAGCAAAGTGTTGTCTGGTTCCTGGGTAAGTGTGTCTGAAAACCAGACAGGCATTTAAATGATTCCTCTCTGATGCAAGTGCAGCTGAGTGGGTGTGCATAATTTGTTCTGTGCCCATGTATTGTGATCTGTGAACTTTTGTTTAGTTTGTGTGTGTGTTAGCGTCATGGGAAAGTGCATGTTTGAGCATGTCGTACAGTGTATGCTCTGCACTCACGGTATGCCAATCTCGAACAAGTTGTTCTGGATGAGCTGCTTGCCAAGCATGGTGATACACAACTGGATGCACAGCTCCATGAGGCAGCCTGCATGGGCACACTGGAAAGAAAGAAAGTGAACAAGTGTCAGACAGTGACAGGAAATTAAACTGAGGCAGGAGAGCCTGGAGGGTTGTCACAGAGGGGAGTAGGAAGTGAAGTCACTTTATATATGGAGAGATAGGAAAAAGCTCCATGTTATGGAAGTTCAGGCGTGTTGCTATTAAAATCTTGTATGAAAAAAGGTACAAAAATAACCATGTATGTAATATACAATAAACCTGCAATCATAACAATCAGTGAATTTTTTTATTACTCATGTTTACTTGGCTTTACGTCCGGGGCCTGTGCAATATACCTATGCAATTTATTTATAATGCAACATTACACTATAATATATCATATTATATTATATTATGTTGTCTCCGGGGCCTGTGCAATATGCAATATGCAATATACATGTGCAATTCACAATGCAAATTTACACTTTTAACGGGTTTTGTGCAATTTATAATGTATATGTTTTATAGATAGATTTATGTCTTCCTTGTAGATTATGTCTTCCTTGTAGATTTATGTCTTCCTTGTGTGTCTTTTTAAACTTGACTCTCTGAGCAACAACCGCATGTGTGCAAGCATAAATGGCAAATAAAGTTCTTGAATCTTGAATCTTGGTATTACTACCAAAACTAAAACAATCTAGTAAAAATGGGGGAAAAAAAAATTTCAACAACTCAATTTCAAAAATTTCACTGCATATTGATCTGTTTATCAGCTAATCTGCATGTAATCAGGGCTTATTCATGTGTTTCGGAATTTTGACATGGGTTATTACAAAATTAGTTTTACAGACATGTTTAATGTCAGGTAAGAAAAAAGACAACTCTGGTGATATTCTCTTTTTTTATTGCTAGTTACTCACATGTGCAGACCCAAACCAACAGTGCATGTATCCAGTAACAAGTGTGTGTATCTACAGACAGATATATCTTATTCCTCTGTAGCACAGAGCTCCATTGGTGCTCAAAAACTATTAAAAACGCATTAATGAGCCACGCTGTTACACTGGGTGTCATGTTCCTTCAATCCCATGAACACATACACTGTAGTTTATTTAATTTGATCCTGTTTAAGTAACATTTGTTAAAAACTACAGTATTATATTGTTGCATACACTGATCAGCCATAACATTATGGCAACCTTGGCACCTTGGTGGTCAGAATGTTATACGCAACAAACTGCTCTGCACTGTGTGTTCTGACACCTTTCTATCAGAACCAGCATTAACTGTTTCTGCAGTTTGAGCTCCAGTAGCTCGTCTGTTGAATCGGACCACACTGGCCAGCCTTCACTCCCCACATGCATCAATGAGCCTTGGCCCCCCATGACCCTGTCTCTGGTTTACTGTTTTTTCCTTCCTTGGAGCACTTTTGATACGTACTGACCTCTGCAGACTGGGAACACCCCACAAGAGCTGCAGGTTGGGAGATGCTCTGACCCAGTCGTCTAGCTATCACAATGTGGCCCTTGTCAAAGTCGCTCAAATCCTCACGCTGCCCATTTTTCCTGCTTCTTAACACATTAACTTTAAGGACAAAATGTTCACTTGCTGCCTAATATATCCCACCCAGTGACAGGTGCCATGAAACTAATAATAATAGTTATAATATTCAGTGTTATTCAATTCACCTGTCAGCTGTCATAATGTTATGGCTGATCGGTGTATGTTTTTTAAGATTTATGTCTTTAGTAGGAACCATTGGGTTTGGGTCTGAGTGCAACAGACAGGGTAGGAAAGTGGGAAACTATTTAGACACGGACTAACACAGCTGGTTTCAGTCGTTTCATTGGATTTATTGACATTGAGAAAATATGGAAAAACAACAGTCTAAACCTTAAATCATTCTGTGTTAAATGTGAATTACCTCTTCCATTCTGTACGATCCAACAACATACAGGTAGTTTCCAGGCCGCCCAACAAGCCTGCGAACACAACCATTACATGCAGTGAGATGAGCAAAGCAGGTAGTATACAGTATGATCATGGTCACTATATACATTACACTGTACAATCATTCTCGGGGTACAGTGTTTTGGATAAAAGTGTGAGAGCAACACAGGGTTGATTTAAACATAAAAATGCACAGAAAACAAGCAGTGAGTCAGTGTTTACCTGCCCCTGAAAAAGGCCAAATAGACAATGGGTGTGAAGGCATTGACAAACTTCAAGATAAAAGTTTTGAAGATGAGGCGCTCTTCAAAGCTCTTGTCTGTCTTTGGAACCTCTGAAAAAGAGACAGCGTGACTTTATTATCACACATATACATACAATGTAACAATATAATCTTATTTTCTAGTGATTATACACAAATGAAAACATACCTATGAATATTATATTCCATTTCTGATAGTAGATCCTACTAAATTGTACACACTGGACCTTTAAACTACATTAGCTAAGGGGTGTTCAGGTTTTTTGCATGTTACGAGTAACCACGGTAATTTTTCCATTGTGCTTGGAAGGCAGGGTGAAGTGAGGGAATTACAATCTGCAACTTCATTGCTAGATGCCACTAAATCCTAAACAATAGACTTTTGAAGGATCTTTTGTTTCATCCTCTATCATCCTGCAGAACAAATTATTTCCTAATAGATATTAATTTTTTAAGTTTAAAAATGTTTACTTTTTATAATGTTTAAGATATGAAATTATTGTTATTATTTAACAGTTTCATTCTTATTATAGGCCCCTTTATTTATTGTTTTTATCTCATGTATTCTAACACAGAGCAGAGGAGTTTTTTTAATTTCCACTTTTATGACACAATATGCCTTGCTATGAAGACATATTTCCTTATTATTATTATTATTATTATTATTATTATTATTATTATTATTATTAATTAACCCTTTTCCCCTTTAAAACTTAGATAGCCCAGCCTCAAACTGTCACAACTTATTCTTTATCCAGAATGGTGTATGAAGCTACTATGCATTAAATAAACAAACTGATAGAGCTTTTTCTTTACTTAAAGTTCCCTTCCAGATGTATAAAATACTCTGCTTTTGAATAATTTGTGTCTAATAATATGTGATTTTTCCAAAAAGACTGTTCTCTGTACATTGCATCTGTTCTTTATTAAGAAATCCAGAATCTATGAAAACTTAAACATATTATTATTTCACAAGTTGAACTGCTGGACACAAGATGTCTCCCACATCACTAAAAAGTCTGTTCTCATGGTGTGTGTCAGGTTTCCAAATCACACCAGTTGCATACTGGGCCCTGATTGGCTTCCAAACTAGATGCGATGTTAGAACTGTGGTCTCACATAGACATGTTAAACTGACATTGAAGGTGAGCACACTGAGTTTCAGTAGATGAATGTGAAAACAAACTCTGCACAAACATTGCTCTTTTTGACAGGAGAAGGACTTTAACATTTATGCATCAAACATCAAACACTCTTGCCTGTTATAAGAATATCTCTGATCCAGTCAATCTGTAGTCAGAATAGATCATGCATTTAAAGGGTTAACAGTGAAATGTGCCTCACCCAGTGTGGTGAGCCAGCGGGCGATGGCAGCGTAGATTTCATCTAAGACGATAATGATTATGAGGTTGATGATGGCTGCAGTAGTTTTGACCGTGGCTCGGATATTGGACCGTGCTGCAGGGTAAGTGCTCATGTGCAGCGCCGCTCTTATGCTAATCCGGTAAAGGATGACCCCAAAGACTATGGCGAATGTCACAGTGATCTAAAAGTAAGGAGAAGGAGGAGGGTGGTAATAAAGATACTGTAGAGTCACTGCAGGTGATACAAGTTATATCAGTATGGATAAGCATTAAAGGTCTGAAAAAACTGTAACAAAGTAAGTCTATCAGAGAAAGCCGAAGTAAAGGGCTGTGTTCCAAATCACATACTAACGTACTGCCTCCTACATACTCAGTCAGTACGTACTGCATACCGCATACGACGAGTACGATTAAGTATCACAGTGGAGTTTATTCAAACATACGTCTTCTCTGTATCTCTTGACTGTTTCATTTACAATAAACTTAACAGCGCTGTGGAGATAGGTCTGACTACCACAGACTAATTACAACATTACAGTTTGAGCTGAATAGTTTAAAACTAATGTAAATCAACATTTCCTCTTAAGCACTCAATGTAATATTCTCCAGTATTATTTTCAGGCAAATTAACGTAAAAAAAAAAGGGGGAAAGAAGAGCATTAAAGGCTAATGTTTGTGGTTCACGTTTGATTAAAAGTAGTAGTAAATATTAATATTAAATAAATTTAATAAAAAACAGAAAAGTTTGAGATGATGAAGTTTGATGACATAATGCATGAAAACTGTAACAAACTGGCTAAAACCGTCTGCCTCGCAGTCCGCCATTGACCAGTAATGGGGCAGTATGAGCAGTAAGCTCACGCTGTATACATCTCTCGCATACACAAAATTCACATGCTATACAGTTAAAACACACTACATACTCAATTTGACGTCATACTTATAGTATGAATCGTAAGTAGATATGTGATTTCGAACACCTCCCTGGATGTAAAGTGGACAGATGTTGAAACATGCCACTCGTGTTTACAATAAAAATAATAAGGATGGCTGACATGCACGATTACCGACCTGAGCCTGTAGTTACCTAATTAATATGTGTGTGCATAGCAACAACTGCTGCTGCACAACAGCTGTCTGCTATCCAACCCATACCTGACATGTCCCGACAGACAGGGTTTGTCTTTGTGAGATGGCCTTTTAAGCATATATTTCTCACTGAAGCAGGGATAATTAAATATTTCACTGGTTCTAATTTAGAAATAGGTAAAATTCAGGTGACTTGGGTACGGTTACCATTGATGCAGACTCCTCATCACTGTGTAGCAGACATGGTCTGGACTGGAGTTCAAGACGCATTAATTATACTGAACAAAAACTTTATTTTCTGTGTTCTTGATACAAAAAGTAAAATCAGTTTTTTTGTTTATAGTGCAATAGGCTATGAGTGGGTTAGCTAACAATGTTACAATAATAATTTTACAACAATAATTACCAAAGGAAAAAAACAAAGAAATTTTGCTAAAAAGGGCAGCAGTCAGCTAGCATGTCATGTAGATCTTCATCCATACTGTGTTTTTGCACACTATTTTCACTAGTGATATGTCGCTCTGTGAGCTGACTCCTCTGAGTGAATGATGGGGGCTGGCTCCTGTCTTTTAAAAATAAATTAATACGAAATAATAGACTGATCCTATTTGTTAAATACAATCTGGCAACATTTCACTTTGGTAATAACATTAAACATTAAGCATGTAAAGACTTTTGTTGCATTGCTTGCCAACATACAAAACATTCAGTTATTTGAGATTAAATTATGGTATTCAGAAAATTATGAGGTCCACCATAAACACTGAATAATTGAAGTTACACACATACCAATCATAGGTCAAAACATTGCCAAATTGCAGAAGTGGAACTCTGGAAGTGGAACTGAGTTGAGCCAAGTGATCTGGATCACTGAAAAGAGCTGATCTCATCACTACATTTACACCTCATTTCAAAGTCAGATCATTGTGGAAATGTGCTAATCTTCCTGTGATCAAAGAAAACATTTGAACTACAACCCGGCTGTGCTTCACTGTTGTGCTAAACCAGGGTGTAAAAAAAATGATTATATATTGTAAAAATATACTTTTTTTAATGTCATACACTTGTTGGAAATACAAAAGGCCTGTGATGTAACACTGTTGATACTCACCATAAAGCCCATCATGACCACAGTAGTTAGGTAAGCTGGCATTCTGTCTGTGCATGTCAGCTTCACCTTCTCACCCTGAAACACACACACACACACACACACACACACACACACACACACACACACACACACACACACACACACACACACACACACACACACACACACACACACACACACAGTTATGACAGTGTATCTGAGACAATTAGAGGTATGTGTATGTGTGTATGTGTGTGTGTCTGTGTTAATATGTGTATTTCAGCTGCTGCAGCCTCATGTCTTGCTGTCAGTAGCAGCTCTGTATACCCTGGGCATGCAGATGCACACAGCACACACACACCATTAACATACACACACACACACTATATGGCTGCAGTGGAGCACAGCTAATTCTGCTCCGAGCTATCATGTCACATTTAAGCCTACTGAGAACTGGGTCAGAAGGCTCAGGCAACTGTGTGTGTGTGTGTGTGTGTGTGTGTGTGTGTGTGTGTGTGTGTGTGTGTGTGTGTGTGTGTGAGAGAGAGAGAGTATTTGATGAAAGAAAGACGTGACCTGCGGAGACAAAAGGCAGAAGGCTAAGAGTCAAAATGAACATGCCCGACTCTGAACCTTGTCCGGAGGCTCCAGAACATGTCATGTCTTCATTTAATGATCAGCACTTTCTTTCAAATTGCTGATGACAATAGTCAGTGCTGATTGCATGTTTCCTGACTGTTGCCAGCTTCTGATGGATGATGTTTGTTTTTTGACTGTTGCTGTGTTCATGTACATGTGAGCTTGAGAGAGTATCACATTAGAATATGTTAAAGAAGACAAAGTAATGGTGTAATGATTTTATGGGGTGAGGGATCATTCATGGAAGATAAAAAAAGAAAATGTCCACGGAGATCAAACAAGTACAAGTACAGAAGTGCATTGCATTCACAACAGAAAGAAAATAATAATTATCAGTTATTATCTCGTAATTGCCAGAAAAGATCTTCTAATAATGAGATCTCACATGAAAGGTTGAGATAGCGTAGTTATCAATCATTGCTACTGATAAGACAGCGGGCAATGCTTTAATCTGCTGATGGTATTAATATTAGTAAGTGAACACTGCATAGGCATCTGCAGTCACTGGGATTGTTCAGGTGGAAAGCCCAGTCTGACCTGCAGGAAGGCGTTTGAAATTACTTATTACTTTTGAATACAGTATCAACATACATAAACATTTTACTAAACCAGTTTTACCTTCGGTGTTGAATGTTCCTGTCTCATTGTCTTTTGCATGACCCGGAACTCGTACTCGGCTCGGTTGTGGTCCTGAAAGAGAAATTAGTTGAGCTGTTACAGTTCCTGATACTACTGCATATTAAGTGTAAAGGATAATAAACAGTAGAGAAGATCCCTATGGAGTTTCAGAATGCAGGCAGAAATTAAATGAACAGCTTGTTTGCATGAAGTTTTGCAAAATGGAGAATTTTAAATTGAAGTACAGCACTCTGTGTAAGAGAAGAGAGAAATACATTAACCCACAATGGAAGGATTGATGAAAACTAAAAGCAAACTATAGTTTGATGTTGGAATTGTGCAGCAACTTCTAACTAATGTAAACTCAAACTACTGTATACAGTTTGAGTTTGTTGCTGCATTTTACAGTGTGCTTATATTCAAGTGTTTGTAACTTCAAGCTTAACAATAACTTCCAAACAACAGCCCAACATTTTGAAAACATGCTTGTTGCTGAATCAGATAACTAGATCAATGTAAGTGATATATGTGTGTCCACATTGTTCCAGCGTTTAGCCTATCTCATAGGGAGCAAGTACTTCCGGTCAGCCACGCCCACTTTCGGTTTGAGCACCACCCATGCCAGTTTTAAGCTGTCCCATTCTGACTGATCATATAAAAGATGGACATCATTCAATTGAATTGAATTCCGTTTTATTTGTATAGCGCCAAATAAATAAAACTAAGGTTTGGTCAAATTAGCTAGATCATGCAACACAATGCTGAATGTATGTAAGGTATATTAGTTACGTCTATTATAAAACACTGTGGCTAATATGTTTGCCCAGGTTTTTAGATATCCAGGCTAACAGCGAAGCTAACAGCTACCTTCTACCCCCAGGCTTTATGCTATTACAGCCTTCCCAAACCTATCCCTGATGTGAGCCTGTAATGGGCACACAGACTGATATCCATCTGGGTAAGACAGCAACAGTGCATGTTATACAAAATGTCAAACTGTTCTGCAAATCTGTGTTTACCTTCCTAAATCCAGACATTTGATACACAGAGCTGCATGATGTGGCATGTCTAATTTGTGCTGTTGTCAAATAATACTTTCATGGTTGAATCTAAGATCAACATTAATATGCAGTCAGAAGTGTGTGTATATGTACCCATAATAAATAACCGTAATACAGTAGGCCAAGAAGAATGAAGAGGTATGTATACAGAGGAAACTGCATGAAAACAAGGCAGAGGGTTAGACAGTCTCTTTTGGCCTGAAGGTCCATGTGCCCAGCTAATGTACACATGGTCAGACAGACAGAAAGAGCCAAATAGATAAAAGCTGTCTACTGTAGCAACAATCTTAACATACAGAGACTCACTTTCATTTGAAGTGGACGAAATTAAGCAGTGGACTTTGGGTTTTGAGCCCTTTAACCACAGATTGAGTCAAAACTTGCTCTTACATTTAATTTCATATTAAAATATTTTTCAGAAACAGTCCTCATGACATCATCATCATTACTACTACTTGACTTAAACCTAAATTAACATATTGTTTTGGCCACTTTGCAGCACTGTAACAACAACTGACATATTATCAGTTTATAACGTTAACATGGTAAACAAGTTAGAAAACAACTAAAAATGTGGCTGTATTTCACTCTAAAGGATTTCTACACCGTGCAGGATATCCAATACATTTTTCAAAACGTGTAAAGGGGGAGGTTTCTGGCGACACATGGGACCCGTTGAAAGCTGGTCCAATATACAGCTTGTACAGTGTGATGTAGAACTGAAGCCACCAGTGCACATCCACTGAGAATGAACTTTAAAGTGAAGTACTAGACATCTTGTGTCCAGCAGCAAAACTTGATTTGAGAAATGAACATTTGCATATTCAGAGATTCTGGAATGTTAAATGAGGTAGGAGGGGGAGATGACTTTTTAAGGATTGTAATGAGGAAATTATACTTTTTTGTGGAAAAAACATATCAGCACACATTGCTCAAAGCAGATTATTTTTATGTCTTAATATTAATCCTTTAACAATTGTTACTTAGCCAGCACCGCTTCTTCTTTTTGATTTTAAATGCCTATCACTTCACTTTGTGTGTGCTGCTTGTCTTGTGCTTATGTTGAGCACAGTTGTCTCTGTGTAGCGGGGACACATCTAAAAAAGAAATGGAAAGGCAAAGAGAGAGAGAGAGAGAGAGAGAGAGAGAGAGAGAGAGAGAGAAGAGAGCTATGAGTGAACTAATTGCCCCGTTAACTCCACAATAAAGACCACAGAGATGGCCAGTATTGATGAACCTCAGAGAGAAAGAGCACAGCTACAGAAAAAAAAAAAAAACACATTACAAAGGAGCAAAGAGATGAAGATATCAAGTGAAAAGACCTGAGGCAGATTGTTAGACACCTTGAGGGAGAAAAGGTTTTTGTTAACAGCTGCAGAATGGATCTAAAGCAGTGCGTCAAAACGAAAGTTTAAATATGAGAGACAGCAAGAAATAAATCAAGTTGGAGCCAAACCTTATGTTCCTCCTGTAAAATACACACACATAAACACAAAAGAGAAGGTGTCAGTCATTGCCTTTGGAGATAAAAACATTTGTAGAAAAATGATAAAAACTGAGAATCTTTTATAAAAGAGGGTGGCAGTGCATTGTTTCATTTCATTACCAATTTTCAATACTGATGTCTGAGGATGTGATGTTTGTGTGGGAACATTTTTGCGGAGGGCTGACTCACTACAGAGCGCACACAAAAGACAGAGGAGGTACATTCATATGCATATCCTGACCTGTGCCTTTACGTTGGTCTTATTACGGTGTGTGTGACTGCGCTTTTAGGTTAAGTGCAGTGAAAAACATCTGTATTCTTCACATTAATGGAAGTGTCATGGTGAGTGGTTACAAAGAGTTGAAAATATTCTGTACAAAAACATTGCGCAGTTTGCTGAAGATTTGAAGATGCTAGAGATAAAGAGATCTTTTTTTCTATTTCATTAACAATATCTTTAATATTACTTAACACAGTAGCAAGCAAGACTCTCCCGGATTTGTTATGACAGACAGTTTAAATTATTTCCACTTCAGCTGGGTGTCAAATGCTGTCAAATGTAACACATTAATTGAAATTAATTTTAAAAATTACTAATTTAAAAATGCTATGAATTTAATGATCTATTATGGACACATTTTAGAAGTGACAGGCTTAAGTTCAATGGATAAAGATGATTTCTAATGCCATCTTTAGATATCTTTACTAATGTGCCACAATAATGGTCAAATATCTTCACTTGGAGGCTTTTTCAAGCAAATATTGAAATATGTGATTGTGATTAAATCAGAAAATATTTCTGCCACTGCTTGAAGTCTCCATGACACCCTCTGGACACCCCATTAATATTTCTCTAGATCAATTCTGTTGCTATGGAGAAGCCACTCAGAGGCGTGAATCAGAGAGATAGTCAATTCAAAATGCTTAAACATGACGCCGTAGTTCCTGAATCCATCCAAACTGAAACCAGAATTTAAAAGTGAACCGACTGAAGCAGCAGATTGTATTTTGAGTTTTGTCATCACTGTTATATTAAGCTTTCACTCGCCATTAATGGCACATGTAACTGAATTTTAAGCTCTGTGATTGTATGTTTGTGGCAAATTCACCAGAAGTTTTTATGTACAGTCTTGTATCTTCAATGTCATAACACAGTTATTAAGCCATTGTACTGGAACAACGGAGTACTGAGACATCATTGTCTATGGGGAAAAAAACTGGGACTTTTATTGCTCCTCTTACTTCACAGCTCTCTAAAATATAGAGCATTTATTTGTCATTTTATGTTTTGATACGAAAGGACCATGCCAGTTTTCCAGTTTTCCAGTTTTCCAGGCAGCCATTTGTCTCCATTCCTTTCACTGTGTCGGGAAATCAATTTGCACAGACATGCAACCTTATGGTCACATGATAATGCATTTTAAAGGACTACACTACAGGCAGACACCCTCTCCACATTCAAGAGTAGGCTTAAGACGTTCCTCTTTGATAAAGCTTATAGTTAGGGCTGGATCAGGTGAGTCCTGAACCATCCCTTAGTTATGCTGCTATAGGCCTAGACTATCGGGGGATTTCCCATGGTGCACTGAGCTCCTCTCTTCCTCTCTCTCTCTTTCTGCACTCATTCATGTCCCACTAATGCATGTTACTAACTTCACTTCTTCCCCGGAGTTCTTGTGCTTTCTCGTCTCGCAGGTTCTCATGAATCCTGGTGGAGCCTCCTGCCATGGTCCTGCTTGACTGCCATTGCTAATATCACTGATATTGTTATTATTATTATTATTATTAATATTATTATTATTACTACAGTTACTATTGTCACTGCTTGTTGTCCCCCATCGTTGCTGTTGTCGTCGTCATCATCTACTATTAGTGTAGTTGTTGCTACTGTTGTTGTTGTGCAACTGTCTGTCTATCTGTCTCTCTGTGTCTCTCTCTGTCTCTCTCTCTCTCTCTGTCTCTATCTCTCTCTCTCTCTCTCACCCTAACTGGTCGGGGCACACGACCACCCACCTAGAGCCGAAGGGTCTGTCCTAGGTTTCTGCCTTTTAACAGGCAGTTTTTCCTTGTCCCCGTCTCCAAGTGCTTGCTCATGGTGGTACTGTTGGGTCTCTGTAAATAATGTTATAAAGAGTTCGGTCTAGACCTGCTCTATTTGAAAAGTGTCCTGAGATAACTTCTGTTATGAATTGGCGCTATACAAATAAAATTGAATTGAATTGAATTAAATTGAATTGAATTGAATTGAATTGAATTGAATCAGAACACAGCATCATGTTGCTTTTAAAACACTTAAAGCAGACATGATGGATGACTATCTCTGTGTCAAACTGACTTTATGGCATACTGAAATGCATGGGAAGCAATGGTTTTACTGGAAGAGAGAAAAAATGTCCTAGTGAATTGAAGTTTAGTCTACAGGATTGTTAGTTAATTTATAAAATCAACATGAATATGGTTCTTTTAAGAATATATTTATGTTATGTTTAGTAACACAAGAAATGATGCATTAAATATTTCTATGTGTTTATAAATTAGAATTATTAGAATTATTAGATTAAAGAAATAGTTTTGGACATTTTAGACATTTGCTTGTTAAATGAGCACATTGATACCACTCACATATCCGTAAGCTAAATATGAAGCTGCAACCAGCAGATAAATATCTAAGCTCAGCATAAAGACAGGGGGGAACAGCTGTCCATAGGTCCAGATAGAAGAACCTCCAAAGCTATTTGCTTTTGCATATTTACATGTTTCCTGTAAAAACAGGCAGCTAGGAAGGGTTAGTCAATAGGGATGAATGTGTGTTACATCCCCCCACCATGCAGCTATTAGCGGTCCTATCCTCCCCGTGAACAGCATAGCCAGACCAGGACCGACCACATAATTTGTGGTGTTTTTTCGTTTTTTTGCCGGGTTTAGCTCTTGGCACCATGGGGCTAACATAACATTTTTGGCATACATTGTTTAATTGGGGTACAATAGGACTGGATGTTCTTAAAGGGTTAATTTTTTTTAATTTAACCTGGACTTTAATTAACAAGCTTTAGTTTGTTGTTTTTGTTTTCAACCATACACTTGTGGACAGATATCTTGCAACAAGGATTTAGAAAAGTGCTTTGTGGCATTATCTCACCTCCTCCTCCTCTCCGAATCCTGTCAGGTCCCAGACGTAGTTTAACCGCATCTGCCGTCTCTTCCAGTGTTCCATGAAGAGAACCGCTACGTAACCAAGCACACACAGCAAACTGTGTGAGTGTGAACGCACACTCTTTCATATTGTCAGTCTTTCTGCACAAATGGTAGCAGTATTCATAAGATGAAGTGTACAGAGATGCACATTCTGTACATATCGAATCAACAGCTGAGAAGTGACTATAATGACAGTAGTCTTGTCAGGTATTTAGGGTTTCTATATGATATCACAGTTATTTTAGACTCTGATATAAAGGGTTATTTTGTTGACTTTAAATATGATTAACATCATCTGCTTGCACCTACTAACCTCTATGACTAGCTAGATTACTGTAGTGCACAATAAATTGAAAATACAATTGTATTATAATAGTATATGCAATAGTATTTTATTTATTATTATTGTCAACAAATCCCATACCAATAATGCATCCTACCTTCTCTCACTACTTCCCTACCCTGTCTGTGACTCCAAGCCCACTGGTTCCTAAGAACGTGAATCCTTAAAAACTGACCATATATATTTGTTTCATTTAAAAAAGAGGCTCAGTAATTTTGTAACAGCTAGTCACTGTAGATTTTATCAAACTTTACTCAAACAAGATGAAAACAGTACATTTGTTGGGGACTATTTTCAGCAGTGACTAAATCCACATTTGGTGCTCTAGTGAGTATTTGGGGCAGCAGTACGGTGTATGTGGGATTGAGTAAAAATAAACTACATGCTGTGTGTGGTCATGGTAATAAAGGAACATGTCACCAAGTGCAACAGTGTGACTCATTCATGTTTTTGGCCAACAATGGAGCTCTATGGCACAGGAAGATGATATATCAGGCTCTAATACACACCCAGCACTTACTGGATACGTTCACTCTTGGTTTGGGTCTTTTCATGTGATTTGTTGACAATAAGGCAACAAATTTCAGCACGATGACGTACTTTCCATTTGTATACATGCACACATGTTGCTATTTTGCAAATGCAATGATTTCTAAGTACATACAGTTTCCTGGCATTCTCCTTCATCAGGTCTGCCATATGTGAATCCCAATGTCAGACTGTGACTCTGTCAGACACTAGCTTCATCTAAACACATAACACATTCCCCAGTCTGAAGCCCTGCTGCAACTAACAGATGGCAGCGTGGTTTGGCAGGACATGAAAGGAGGACCAGCTCTGTGTTTACTCAGGGGCTACCTTCACGGATTCCAATTGTAAGGTGAAGTAGCCATGTTTCTGCCACAGCTGTACTGAATGGATTAAATGATACTGTATATTAACTGGAACAAATCCAGCATTAGTCAGCTGCACAGTCAGTATTTGTAACATTCTACTCATCTACTGGTCTTAATTAGATCGTTTGCTGTTGTTATGATTGGATGTGTCCTTACCCCAAAGGGCCATAAAGATGGAGAAGAAGACGGTGGCTGGGTTGTCGAACAGGTGGCTGGCTCGAGCTGTACCACATGCTGTCACCAGCTTCCAGTAGCTGCAGGCGCGGTCGCACAGTGGACACATGGTAATGTTGTTCCTGGGATCACAAATCTCCATACTGACAAAACAGGGATGAATGAAATAGATGAATTATTCAAAAGGGGGAAAATGATGGTTCAAACAAATCAGAACAAGAGTTTAGATTCAGCTTACTGACATGTTAGTACTTAAGGGCTATATAAATATATATATATATTAGTGCTGTCAAACGATTCAAATATTTAATCCGATTAATCACGTTAATGTCATAGTTAACTCGCAATTAATCGCACATTTTTAGCTATTCTAAATGTCCCTTGATTTCTTTTTGTCCCATTTTCTCATTCTAATATATATATATATATATATATTCATGCAGCAAACAACTATTATCTATGTAAATATATGGTCATAGTGTCACACTCCCTCTGCCTGTGTTGCTATCGCAGCCTCTCTGGTTTGTTTACATAGCCAGTCTGCTTTCTGTGTAGCGTACAGTGACTGAAACAGCTGATTTCACTACCACCTAGTTTCCTGATAGGTTTCCATGTACTTACTAAATAATAACTGTACTTAGTAGCCAGTTCTTTTGGTACTTTGATATACTATATTTATTTGGATACCATGCAGTTTCCTAGTAAATACCAGGTAATTAGTGGACTGTAAAATTAAGTGTTACATATCAATCTAGTTTTTACATAAACAGTCCCCATTATGGCCCAATACCCCTACAGACAGATACCTCAGTTTAAACAGTGGCGGAATCTCTAATGGTTAACATTTCTATTGGCTTATGAAATACAATGTATCATCATATTGCCGAACAAAAACTGACATGCTCTGTACATGTGAAGTCTGTAATGACTTGGTGTGGCAATAAACCCCTAGCTTTAGCATGTGTTTATGTGGGTAGGTGGAGTCATTCTGAGGGTGTAGTCTAAGCCTGATGTTTACCATCAACATGCATACCACAGTACAAGAGATATCTATCTTAATAATTATTCATTTGGTCTGCTTTTGATTTCCTAAACCAAGACAACTGCCAGTGGGTTATAATGAATTCATTATATTTATTACAAATGAATTAACAAATCAGAAAACTAAACTATATTACATTCAAACAAAATTGACACTTGATTGTTTTTGTAACAGCCTAATTTGGACTGGAAACAACCTTTCTATTATATTTTAGGGAATTATGATCTGCAGCAGCAATTATTGAGACATGTCTTATGCAGGTGAAATGGTGAATATTTGCAGTTTAGTGTGTATTTAACTATTTCACACTAGTAGTTTTGATAGCTAACACAAAATAAATGAATATAAGTTAGATAGCTTACAAATAAAAAAAAGATTCACCTCAGCCAAGGAGAAGGCAAATGATTTTGGAAACAAAGACTCTTTGATAAGACTGCTCCTGATTTCAGTCATAATTTCTACATGCATATACATATCATACTGCATTTTATTTAGGCAAGGATTTGTTTGGTTTAAACAACATTTGACACCACATAATTGTTTGTAACACCTTGCTAGTTTTAGCTGGGCAGCAAGATTCAAGATTTCACATCAGTGACTAGGTTTACATGCACACATATTTTCCACTTATATTCAGAATATAATATTCCACATTTGATAAGGCTCCTGTGAACAGCATATTCTGTTTGGATATATTGGATATTCGTAATTGCTGTATACCTTGGAATGTTGTCATCCACAGTGGCACAGCCGTAGAGGAATACAATGACTCCAACGATGGCTGCAGGGATTAGCATCTGTGTGTAGACTCCTAACCAGGCAAAATACAGTCCAACCTTCTCCCCGAAATACTTCCTGGAGGAGGGGACACCACAGGCGTTATATTTACATCACTACGTCACTGTTAACTAAGATGCCGTATCATAATACCTTATACTTATCAAATGAAATCATGGTCCATACAATTAGGTAATATTTGTCAATATTAAAGTCCGATTTTTTAATGAGTCCTTTTATGCTGTCATATATAGGTATGTTGGAAATTATTTCCCCATTAGCATCTCACTTCCTCCACCATCTGCATAAACTAAACAATCTTACAAATTAGATAATTTTATGACACTAATAAAACAACTGATATGATGATTTGATGATATTGCATCATCATTCTCGTTATTTGTAACGTTACATCAGTGCTATGGTTCCTGAGCAGAGTGGGTTTGATAAGAAATGACATCAGCTCACATTCCTAGTCTCTGTCCTGGACCACGTTCAGCTCAGCACAGGACTATTGCTTCTGTAGAAGAGCATCAATGAGCCTGTGAGAGCCCTCATCTGTCTTCCCTGCCTGCAGGCTGCTGAAAGCAGTTAATGCTGCTGTGAGAGCACCAGCCATGGCAGACATGAGGTCTGAAAATGTGCCTCTGATTTACCTGACTAGTGCAGTGGCCGTTCGGGGCACGTGCCCATTTGGAACAGGCAGATTGCTTGGCTCCCAGAAGTGCTAACTACAGCCTCATTGAGAACCGCTCATCCGATCAACTTGACATTGCAATCCACTGGGTCCTCAGCAATGCAGCCCCCAAGTGTGAGGTCGATCGAATTAACAGTTCTCAAGATATGCGGAGAACAGTCATACACACATACAGACAGAGAGTCCTTCCTTTATAGTTAGATGATGCTGCTACAGCGCCAAATATTGGCCAGTGGAACCAAATTTGTCATGGTCACTCAGACATCATATCTATGTCCACCAAATGTGGTTGCAATAGCACAAAGTGTTCAGGAGACATGACTTTTTTCAGTATAGGCCCTGCCCACAGCAAATATCAAGGGCCAGTTATAGCAAAACTGTATAGAATTCAAAAATCCCTAAAAGTAACTTTTTCTGTCTCTGTCCAGATTAGGTGATGGTTGAATCCACAGAATCAAGGCCAAAATGTAATGTGATTTGTTCTTATAGCGCCATCATCTGGCTAATTTGTACCAAATTCTCCCTTGGGTCCTCAGCAATACATGAGTAAAGTGTGAAATTGATTGAATGAACGTTTGTTGAGAAAATTAAAGGACAGACATAAATACATACATACATACAGTATAGTTAGAGGACAAAAGCACTGCTGTGGATCTGACCTGATGAGTCCAATAGGCTGGTACTTGTAAAAGACGCTGTAGCTGGCCCACTCCTCATACAGAAGCTGGGAAAAGATGCAGGAGACGATAATTATCATAAATGCTCATACATTATATTCTATATTATCTGCAGGTTTTTCTGTATCACATTTAGTGAGTCTGCTGTTGATGATGTCTGCATCATCAAAAACTCTGTGTTCACCTGTCTTGAAAATTCAGTAGCCTATGATGTACAGTATATTCTCTGTTTAACAATTAGTAAATATTTAATGTTCCTCGCCTGTTATTTGGAAGTTACATGCAGTATTAGCCGTCTGTGCAGTATGCAGAAGATATGTATTGTATTGCCAGATTCTTGACAATACACAGCAATAGGGTTTCACTAAAATGTACCATTGAAAAGTATAAAACTAACAATATCGGCTGTGGCTCAGAGGCAGAGCGGGTCATCCACTAATCAGAAGGTTGCTGGTTTCGATCCCCGGCTCCTCCCGCCGCGTGTCGAAGCATCCTTGAGCAAGATACTGAACCCCAAATTGCTCCGGATGCTGTGCATCGGTGTGTGAATGTGTATGAATGAGTTAGTTTCTGTTTGATGGGCTTGCCATCACTCAGTGAATGTGTGTGAAAGGGTGATGCGTAGTGTAAAAGCGCTTTGAGTGGTCGGAAGACTAGAAAGGTACTATACAAGTAGAGGTCCATTTACCATTTACCATAACTTTGACAAAGCACTGTACAATTATTGTAAAGGTTTTTTTCATTTTCCTGTAAAGTAACGGTTATGGTTTTGGTTCCCGCCCCACTATTCTCATTGGTCTAGCACGGACCTTTTTAATAGCAGACATTTGGATTTGTCTCAGTAAGCCATGTATAGAACTAACATGCAATACTGCCTTTGTGCTGTTTGTCCGTCCTTTGTTGCTTATACTACTATCATACTAAAAGCAATTTCACTGGGAAACACTGACAAACACAATCATTCACAGGCAGCGCAGTGAGCTGCAAGGCGACAAGTGCAGGCTTTTAATCACAAGGAGGCAGGCCCAGAGGAACGGCAGATGATACGGCAGATCACAGCACATCGAAAAAGACAACTCTCATTATTACAGCTGAATCGATTTCTTAAACATGTATACGTGGGATTGTGACATATATAAGTATGTTGCTGTGGGGGCACTTGAAACAGCAAGCTAAAGCATTTCTGATGCTTGAGAATAACAGAGGGGGAATTATTAGGCTGTTGCCTTAGTGACACACAGCCTACAGTGTAATTATGGAGTGGAGAGTGTTAGCAGGGGAGGAGATGACTTCAGGCTCAGCATGAGCTCTTATTTTCTTGCCAATTGCCTAGTTAATTTTATTCTTGTATAGTAGGAGGAAAAGGCTCAGAAATGCAGATATGCTATCCTGTTAGCATGGTAGTTGGTCATGCTTTGTTACTCATAATTTAGAACAAACCCTACTGGTACAGCTAATTGAGTGGGATGTTTTAATATCTAATAGATATTGTATTAAGAGCTCAAATGCTAATTTAAACTAGCTGGCAATTTCAGTTTCAAAATAAAAGCACATTTTCCAGTTTTGCCGCGGATTGCTTTCCGTAGAACCACCATATTTCTACAGTAGTCCAGAAAAAACAAACCTAACACTTGCTATAGATAGGGCCTTTTGCGTTTTAGCAAGTTTTGTGGCCACCGTAGTTCCTCCTATACACACACCTCACAGCCCATTCTCATTTCCAAGTCGCCAAATATATACACAAGCGCTGATTAGATAGTCAGATACAATCTGATACTTCACCATTAGATACCACTAAATCTTACACAGTAGACCTTTAATTTGAGAAGTTCTTGATAAAAACACTTGATTGATGGGATGCGATATAATGTGTATAAGTAACATTTTACAGTGATGGGACAGAGATGTAGATAAGGTGCACACAAATGGAAAATCTAATTTAGGAAAATTATAATTGCTATTTAATTAAGAGATTTCATTTATAATATATATATATATATATATATATATATATATATATATATATTCAATATATTGCCATGTTTTAGATCTATTTTTAGGAAAATAGTATACACATCACTATATGCATAAAACCTGAGTAAAAGTAAAAGTGTACCCTTTCATGCAACTAAACAATGGGATCTGCATTTGTAATTACCACAGTCCCTGAAACCCAACATCATGACCCTCACTTTATGCTTACACTGCTATCTAGCAAATATGATTAATACAGTGTTTTTAAGAATCAATATATATATATATATATATATATATATATATATATATATATATATATATGTGAGTTAGCTGTTATAGGTAAGTGCATAAGGATCTGCTCCAGGGCAACTGACCCTATCTACAGTATTCATCTGCACACTGCTCTGCTGTTCATGGTTTTAACTGTAATGCATGGGGTGAGTGAAAGTGAAAGAATTAACACAATTATGATAATAGGTTGAAAATACCATAAGTTTACTGTACTTTAACCTGCAACGCCATTTTAAGAAAAATTGCTTTTTAGATATTTAGATTTTGAAGAAAATGTACAGTATAAAAAGTCTACACACCCCTGTTAAAATGCCAGATTTTTGTGATGTAAAAAAATGAGACAATAATAAATCATGTCCAAACTTTTCACAATTCAATTGAAAAACAAACTGAAATCTTTTAGGGGGAAAAATAAAAAATAAAAAACTTACAATAACCTGGTTGCATAAGTGTGCACACCCTTAAACTAATACTTTGTTGAAGCACCTTTTGATTTTATTACAGCACTCAGTCTTTTGGGGTAGGAGTCAACTAGCATGGCACATCTTGACTTGGCAATATTTGCCCACTCTTCTTTACAAAAGCGCTCCAAATCTGTCAGATTGCGAGGGCATCGACTGTGTACAGCCCTCTTCAGATCATCCCACAGATGTTCAATGGGATTCAGGTCTGGGGTCTGGCTGGGCCATTCCAAAACGTTGATATTCTTCTGGTGAAGCCATGCTTTTGTTGATTTGGATTTATGCTTTGGGTCGTTGTCGTGCTGAAAGGTGAAAGTCCTCTTCAGCTTCAGCTTCAGCTTTCTAACTGAAGCCTGAAGGTTTTGTGCCAAAATTGACTGATATTTGGAACGGTTCATAATTCCTTCCACCTTGATTAAGGCCCTGGTTCCAGCTGAAGAAAAACAGCCCCAAAAGTAAGGTCACTATTGTGCCATATTTTCTCCACTTGATGATGACTTCACTGTGTTCCATGGTATATCTAATGCCTTGGAAATTCATTTTGTACCCTTCTCCTGATCTCTCTGATGTTTTGGAAGCTCTTTGCGGACCATGGCTTTTGCTCTGAGATGCAACTGAGAAAATGTCAGGAAAGTCCTACTGGAACAGCTGAACTTTATTTGGGATTAATCAGAGTCATTTTAAATGATAGCAGGTGTGTACTGACTACTATTTAACATGAGTTTGAATGTGATTGGTCAATTCTGAACACAGCCACATCCCCAGTTATAAGAGGGTGTGCACACTTATGCAACCAGGTTATTGTAAGTTTTCTATTTTTTATTTTTCCACCTAAAAGATTTCAGTTTGTTTTTCAATTGAATTGTTCACATTATAGGTCACATTAAAGGTGGAAAAAGTTTGGACATGATTTATCTTTGTCTCATTTTTTTACATCACAAAAACCTGGCGTAGACTTTTTATATCCACTGTATCTGTATGACAGATCATTCATTGTATTGTGATTTGACTTGCTCTACTTACCTTCCTGTCATTAGGTTCTGCATTCACCCCTTCGATATCTCCCTGAAACACAGTTGGTTTCATTTTCAATGAATACACTTTGTCCATCATGCATAATGAATAATGCCTTTAATTTAACACAAATGTATGAGTTGCCATTTGTCAGAAACCTGAGAGTAAGTCTAGTCACACAAAGGACTGTTTAACATAAATTATAAAGTAAGTAGCGAGTCCTTTGGTGTTTTTCATAACAGAAACTCACTGAATTGGAATAATACTCTCTGCTGCAAATATACAGCAATTTCCCAGCTGCTCACAAACCAGTAAGGGAGATGTGGTCATACTCACATCATGCAGAGGATAAGCAGATGTATAGACACCATTAGCTAGTAGACTGGTGATCCCTGTAAGAAGACATATTCAGCAGGATTATAATCCAGGAGGACACATACACACACACACACACACACACACACACACACACACACACACACACACACACACACACACACACACACAAAGACACAGACACAGACACAGAGAGAGAGAGAGAGAGAGAGAGAGAGAGAGAGAGCAGTATAACACTCAGCTTTAGAGCTCTGGAGGAAGATTACACCCAGAGAGTCAGAATTTATGTTACATTTCCTCTTTCAAAGGAGGTCAAGAGGTCAAACATGACACTTCATCATGGTCTTTATTTTTACAGTTTTGCTGGAGAATTACATTCAGAGAGACATATAAATAAAGTTTTTATTTCACCATGGTAATGGTGCAGCATACTTATTAGAGTAAAACAATAAACACACTTTGATTTAACTGGGTTTCCTTCTACCTGTGCCTGGGCTTATTTGCTCTTAAAACATTTTCATGTTTCACTTTCTGCCTCAAACAAACCTGAACATATTTCTCATTCATATTTTGAAAATTACATAACTCTCAAGAGACTGTCAAACTTAGCCAAGGCTCACCAGTTAGCTTTCAGTCAACACTGTACTGCATAGATGACAGAAAAGAGGCTTACAGATAGCTAAGGTTTGTCTGATGGCAGATGATCCCACAACTCTGCACTCTTCTGTCATGGTAATTACACTGTACTTGGATGAAACCAGAATCACACGGTTGTATTCCTCCACCAACCAGTCATGTTGCTGTTTACATTTATGTCTGTCCAGACTTATATAATATATGTGGTAAAGACTTGGAAAGGATCTAATAAAAAGATAAAAAGTGTATTTTTTGACTAAATGAAGGTTATCATTCCAGTGAATATACACTTTTGCCTTGATTAATGAAGGATTATCATAGATGTATTGGCTAAACAGGTACACGTTTGTGCCAAAATTTAAGAAATTCCTTCAAGTGTATCCTGATATATTGTGTTCACAAGAATGGGACATATGGATGGACAACCTGAAAACATGGCTATCACCAATGCGGAGGCATGAAAAGGAGCCAGATTAATTGGATATTGATTTATCCCTTGAAGAGATACAGGCAGAGGTCTTACCCATGGAGTATTTGGCTCTGGTGCATCTCGTCCTCTTTAGTACCTCATAAACCTGACGATACAGAAAAACATTTAAAACTCATATTTAACCAAGCAGATTCCGTCTTAAAACCGTGAGAATTTAGATGTAGGAGAGCAAGCTGAATGTTTATAATAATGAAATAGTCAGACGGAGGATGAAGCAGGCCTTCCACAGAGGTTTATTGACAAGAGCTGAAGCTCAGCTAGGAACCGATGGCTGCTGTGATTGAGAAGCTCCATTCTATAACGAGAAGCCAATCACATTATCCAGTCATTAGCTAAACCCTGCCAAGTGATGTGTAGGTGTGTGTATGTATGTCGATGTAGTAGCACATGTATGATTCAGATTCACAGAATGTATTCATTTTTCATGGTAGCCACTCCCACAAAGTCACATAGAAGCTTATTTGAGCAAAGTACATATATATAGTGTCATATATTTTAGATCTATGTAGAAAACCACATTTGTCTACACTAAAGAACAACATATCACACACATTCTGTCACTGTGCTGAATCAAACACTGCTCCTTTTATGTGGAGATTTTGTGTGGCCTCCTGAGGCAACCATCTTCCAACCACTCATCTACTAAAAGCAATACTTACTATTGAGCTCCTGGTCTTGCTGTCAAAGAACTTGTCCCTGTCAGAAAGATCGAATCTGACAGACAAAGGACAAAACAGATCTAGTTTTAGTTGCAGTTCCAGAGAGGGAGTGCAGACTGACAATTCTTTACTTCATGGTAGATATTGGAAATAAAAAGAGAGGAAAGTTGACATGAAGGTCATTCAACATCTGCAGAGTTAAGTTCTAGGGTGCAGACTGATGTTGATAATTTTGCTGTCCACCTAGTCACAGTGAGCTGAGATTAAAGCTGCACCAGACAAGATTGTATGCACAAATACACTTATCATACTAAATCATGTTTAAACTATCTTTTGACGAGCTGAACATTTCATGTCCCCAAAATAACCTGCACAAATATGACTTAAAGTACAATGACAAAGAAGTACATATATCTCTGGTCTAAAGGCCTAAAACTTGCATTGTATGCTGTTGTAAACTGAGATCTCCTGCTAGCTGTTAGTCATAGCTGTAAATATAGCAGCCCACTGCCCACTCTCTCCTCCATACATCGCAGCAGCCTGATGTTTCTGTTAAGACATTCCTCTTTGATCAATGCCTTTAAAAGTGCTTTCATTTGTTAGGACATAGCAAGAAGCATCAGTGAAGTCATGACTTCTGCCTGAAGTTAATCCAAGTATTTTGTGTAAATGTTTTATTTAGCTATTTTCAAAACCTTCCAACACAGTGTTAAGAAAATGCAAATTACTTTTGTGATTTGGGTGAGCTATGTTTGTTTCCTCAGGGGAGAGAAAGCTGAGGGATGGGAGCTTCAGCAGAATGCAGCAGGAGAGTGTCACGCTTCAGCTCTCCTGCTGTGCTCTTCAGTCAGACAGTTTGATAGAGTTGTTGGGTGCAATTTACAACTCTGTGGTTGTTACTTCTACATGCTGTCTCAATAATGAAACTCCCTGTGTGGGTAAAGCTGCTTTTTCCAATTACACTTTTGCTCAGAGGTGATACAACGTGAAATATGGAGGATAAAGCTCAAGTTTGAGTTTCTTCTTTCACATTTCAGAACTTTGCAAGAATGTCTCACGATAACTTGCACAGCTGGGTAATTATTACCATTATTTCCCAATATGCTTCAAGATATTGTACCAACTTTTTTTTTACCAATATCTGACTGCAGTGTGAGAATATTATGAACATTTTGGAGGATTTTCTTCCTTTAATATACTGAAATATCCGTCTCTATAGCTGCTAAATGATCCACTATGCATATGTGACAACTAAAAGTTGGTGCCTTAAATGGGTCAGGATCAAATTATTTGTGTGCATGCTCAGATGTGTAAAACCTCTTTGACATGCAGATTCTACAGTATGTACTGTACATGGTGAAGCAAAATTAACCTACACATGAGAAATATTAAAACAGACACTCAGCAGAGATTTTACTCACAGATGCTGCTTCTCTCTGGAGAAAGGGTGAGAGAGGGATTTGACGCTTTGTGGCCGGTTGGCGTCTACTTTGGGATGGAGAGGAGCTGTGACTTTGTGAATGAACAGTCGGATCTTCTCCACCAGATTACTGCCTTGTTTGACATCGTAAACCTGCAGAGGAGGCAACAGAAGGATTCTGCATATACTTGTATATTTAGGGCCCGAGCACTGACCAGTGCAAGGACCTATTGTAATTGTAGGAATTCTCCGTTATTATTTTTCTGCGCCTTCAACCGCATTTTTAACAATTTCCCATGCTCGACAGCTCACGAAACTTTGCACAAAATTAAAACGTGGGAGAACTCGACGCATCCACTTATACCCGTGCACGAGCGCGGCCAAATGCCTAAGCCCCGCCCCTCCGAATCAGCCCCAAAGACGCGTGTGACTAACATATACGAAAAGTGGTACACATGTGTATCATGCTCAGACAAGCAGAAAAGCCTCCAAACCCAACAGGAAGTCGGCCATTTGGGATTTTGTGGTCATTTCTTGCGATTTTTGGCGTTGTATTTGAACAAATATCTCCTAGGGAATTTATCAGCTCGACTTCAAATTTGGTCAGTATGATTTAAACACCATCACGATTAAAAGTCGTGCTATTTGTGACTGTGCGTCAAACGGCCTGCCCCTGGCGTGGTGTCCAATTTCAAGGACTCGCCATGAAAAAGGAAGTTGTCATAACTCAGCGTACAAGATCTGATCTCAACGGAACTTCACAAGTCTGATAAGAGTCCTGCCCTGAACAAGTCTACATGACAATATTCAGATATAGTGATAGCACCACCTAGTGGCAACAGGAAATATCATGTTTTATACTTTCATGTTCTATTCCTAGCACGTTGATCAGATCTAGCTGAAATTAGGTCAGAAAATGCAAAATATATTGTTGATGATATGTGATAAATAAGGTGAGTTGTCATTGAAGGGTGTGCCCGCGGCATGGAGTCAAACATGGACGCACATGAATTGCTGTAACTTGAGTATACGTCGTCCATTCGGCACCAAACTTCAAGTGTCTGATCTATGTGATAATATTCAGTAAAAGTGGTAGCGCCACCTAGTGGTGGAATTTTTTGCACTTTTATGTATTTCTCCCAGCAGATTCAACACATCTAGCGGAAATTTGGTCAGAAGACCCTTAGAATGTTTGCAATGACATCTTATGAGTCTTATACATTTTTATTTAACCGTGTTGCCGTAGCGACGCAGTGAGCATCACTACTTGTTTTAAAGGGGACATATTATGTAAAACCAACTTTTTAATCGATTGATTATGTACATTTGGGACTCTGGAGGGCCTATCAGCAGGCAAAGTGTGAAAACAGATGAATTTTTTTGTGGGGTGCCTCAGTCAGAATACCGGAGATAAAGCAGTTAATGTTGACTTTGCAGGGCGTGTGGCGTCACATTCCCTGATTGCGAACTTTCACCGCAAACGTTGCCTAGCAGCGCTCCGTCATTGTCCGGATAAAAAGGCGAGAGTGCAGGCAAGGGAGCAGAGGAGCGGAAGAGCGGCCTTATGTCTGAGCAAAAGTATGCTAACTGTTTTGTTCTAGGATTTAGGAGTCCTGTGGATACATTTTATATATGACGGCAATGTCCCGGGTAGGGTCAATAAAAAAATATTATTTGTGATGGACTGTTTTCTGAACCTTGGTCAGTACAATGCTGGACTGTCCCAAAAACTGTTGCTGAAAGGGGGAGCAGTACCAACTGTCCGTGGCAAGGTGGCAGAGGAAGAAACTGTACGTATTTTTAAGAATGTATGCTTCAATTTAGCAATGCTAACTGCTGTTAACTGCTAGAGCCTCAGTGACGCTAACGTAACAGTTATTCTGTTTGTTAACATTAAATGTTTGTTAAATGTGTGCAAGATGCACTTCAAACTTTTAAGGTTACTTATGGTTACTTCTAACCATATTCTTCCCTGCTGATATTTTTATAGAGATTCACACAACGTTTATGCCGTGAATCACCAAGCAATTTTACCCCCGCTGCCAGTATATCAGCGCAGAAGGATGACTCGGTAAAAGTTAACGTTACTGTTGTGTGCTTTGTGGCCCGGGGAAATTGACTTAATGTGCGTCTGTATTTTGCCAAACGTGCATGCTTTTCATGAAGTACTATGCTTGTGTGTGTCGCTGCTAGAATGAGCAGAGACGTGACCTCCGAGCTAACAAACTGTAGCGGCAAGCCTCATCAGCCGTTCCACTCATTGAAGTACGTTACGTTACGTTACTTTATGATGTTGGTGGTCGTTACTAAGGATACAAAGTAAAACATTATGAGACAGTATTTGCTTTTACTGCATTACAAATTACTTCGGTAACTCCTTCTTGTTCAAGGTCTGACTCTGGTTCAAACATATATGGTTGGACCACAAAGTTTCCTCCGGTTGCCATCTTTCTCCCAGGGTTCATTAACTGTTCGTTAACTGTTGTCATGGTAGCGTGAAGCGTGCCGGCGTCGGAGACAGGCACTCAAAACCGACCGTTCTGAACAGGGCTGTTTTGGCAGGGTGATTGAACTGCTACGTTGCTTCATCCTTATGGTATTTTGACCAAAGCATGTCACAGACATTACATGAGGACACCAGGGAACTAGGTTAACTTGTAGAAATATGGTATAATATGACTCCTTTAATGTTTGATCGATTTTGTGGGGGCTAAAAAAGCTCAACACCTCATGAAACTTGGCACACACATCCCACATGGCAGAATTTTACATTTCATCTGGGTCTTTGACGTGGGTTCATCAAAATGGCTCGATAGCGCCCCCTACAAACTTTCAGAATAACAGCCCCGGTGTCCTATTTCACGGACATGTATGAAGATTGGCAGGCATATGTATCATGTCAGGACGTACAAAAAAGCCTCTTGGACTCATATCCTAAGCCCAACAGGAAGCCGGAAGTGGCAGCACATCAGGGTTAAAACGGGTAGGACCTCAAATTGAACCATGGGAAACACCACAATTAATTGTATAGCTTTTAGCTGAACATTCATCAATGTTTACAAAACATTTTCTGTTGTTAAGACAACATTTAAACCAATTAAAAACCAGTGATGGGAACAACGACGTTATAAATAACGGCGTTACTAACGGTGTTACTTTTTTGAGTAACGAGTAATCTAATTAATTACTCTTCCCATCTCAATAAGGCCGTTACTGCCAAAAAATGCGGCGCGTCACTATAATTGAAGCTGTTTTTTTTAAATCAGACCAACTAGATCTCTGAGCCGAGAGGCAAAGACTTTTTTTTACTGTTCTGCCTTGGTTAGTGGGCAGTGCACGAGACAAGCACATAAATGCTGACGATTGGCTGAGGTTGACTAAATTTCATGGTAAGCCAATCAGAGGTAGAGTTGGGCGGGTGTTTGAAAGCACGCATAGTTGGACACACAACGAACAACACAAGCGAGTCAGTCAACAAGAGACAGGTATGGCGAGTTGTGTTCCATCTTATTACATTTGCACTAAAAAGAGTGTATATATTGTTTGAATACATTTTTGGTACATTGCTTAAAGAGCATCATTTAATTTAGATTTATTTGTTGGCTGGCTGCAGCCTCTTGAAGTGAGATTGTCAATGGCCAGAGAAAGAGATTTGTTTTTATGGAAATGTATTTTTTATTTCTTATGTATTACCTGTTTATATTTGGATTCCTTAGTTTTGCTATACATTGTACTTTTCAGTTAGATTGAAAGCACCTCATATTGTTACACTGTTCTACTTTTTCGAGCAAGAAAATACTTGAAGTACAGTGTATCTACCAATTGTCTGAAGTTTCTGTTTTGTTTTATTTGCACTACAAAGAGTGTATATATTTGTCATTTATTTTTGGTACAGTGCTTAACAAGCATAATTTAATTTTGCCCAGTTGTGGCCTGTTGAGGGGCAATAAAAATCAAAAGTTCCAAAACATCTATTGTGTTATTTGTATGGATCCACTATATAAACATAATATCTACATACATGGCATTTGATTGGAGGCTAGTCTCACTTTGTCCCACAGCAACATTAAAATAGTTTAGATTTGTGTACATTGTTTCTGTTAATAATGGATTGTATTAAGTGTCCATCTCATTATAATATTCGGATTTATCATAAATAATTGAACGTGCACATGTATTTTAAGTTACATTAAAGGGGGATGGAGGTGGGGTCACATTTGAGCATTTAAAAATTGACTTGAAAGTAATGCAATAGTTACTTTCTTAAGTAACTAGTTACTTTTATAATTTGTAATTGAGTAATTAATTTAGTTACTTTTTGGAAGAAGTAACTAGTAACTGTAACTAATTACTTTTTAAAAGCAACTTGCCCAACACTGTTAAAAACTACCAGAGACACCAACCAGACTGTGAAGTCTACTTGAAAGAATGGAGTCATCTACTGTATCAAATGCTTAATAAAAATAAAAAATAAAGTTAAGTAAGTAAATTGTTTGGCTTCTGTAGAGATTTGACCATGCAGTGGGGAAAACCTATCTGAAGAAAATAGTTCACAATATTCACTAAATCAAAAAAGCTAGAAACTGTTAAATGTGGGAATGGGTTCTAAGAGGCACGTTGCAGGTTTTTATTGAGTGATAACTTTGCAAAGCATCTCTGTAATGTCTATCATAACATTAGTGTTTTATTTTGTAGTCATGTGGTACTTCCTGCTTTATTTTTTTGTTTTCCTCCTCTTGTGTTCCGTATTGCTTTACTTCCTATCTTTGTCTTTTTCCCTCCAGTTTGATTTTCACGAGCATTGATTGTGTTCGTTTTTCCTCACTATATATTACCTGTGTGTCATTCCTCCTGTACCAGTTCACTGTTGTTCCTTTGGGTCCTCACATCCAGCCCTTTTGTTTTTCCAGTGTTCTGTGTTTTCCATGGTGTTTGGATTTCTGCCTGTTTTTTGGGCTCTGCCTCAGCCTTTTCCCAATTGGATTTGTTTGCATGTGTGGATTGACCTCCTGTCTACCAAACCTTTATCTACTGGTAGTAAAAAAACTGATCCTCATACCTTTATCCTGCTTCTGTCTGTATTGCATTTGGGTCTTATTTCCTGTGAGTTCTCTGGGCATAACAATCTCAGCATCAATCAGGACCAATTCCTCACATAAAAAGAGCTTCTGAGGTATTGATATTTCTAGCCTGATAATGACACAAGTTTGATGTAATGTTATCAGTTTTATTTCTGAAGTGAACTGCAAATTCTTCACATTCAGAGTTTGCAGACATATCACTAGGCTTGATCATAACAGGATTAATTAAACGGTCAATGGTTGAAAAGAGAGAAGAAGGGAAAACCTGTTTGCTATGGATGTAATCAGTCATTTGTCTCCAGAAATACCCACAGTAAAAATTTCATTTGCGACTCTAAAGTTCAAACCATGTGGCTGGTATGTTTTGTGCCTATATCCCATACCTCTGAATTTGACAATTCTCACAGCTCCCTCTTGTAAATACAGAAGACAATCTGCAGTATTGGACTTATAGTCCACTAATACCCATCAGTTATTTATGCATTTTGCATTCTCATTGGCTTCCTATCAAAATCTCACTCCAAGGCTTGTAAGAGCTACTTCTTCAAAATGGGTGTGATGCTACATCATTGCAGGACAGAGGAACAGGAAACATTCATCTTCACACCTTTCACTACACGGGGTGTCAGGGCAGGAAAAAGCTACAGTTAATATACACATGAAAATTGGCCGATGTGATGGGTGGAGTACCTTTTTTGTTGGCATCTTGAGCTTCATAAACTCAGCCTCTCGACATAGAACATTCCAAGGAGCATGGATCTTCAAGAAACCGATTCCAGGGATCTTACTCTGAAATACAACCAAAATTTGGATATTTATAAAAATTCTCTCTATGTACCCACAGTAGAAACATGGGGCAGTTCATGACTTAAACAAACCACCCCTAAACAGTGCATATTTGGCTGATATAGGAACAACCTGTCAGAACAGCACTTTGCTTTTAAAACTCTGATAGAGTGTCTGATAGAGTCCCAGGAAATTCCTCTGCATCTACTTCAGCACACACTGGCATCTTTATTTATGCATTTATCTCTGCAGCCTCAACTGTTATGTAAAACCACTCATATGCTGCCAGACTCACTTCACACCCTTCAGCTCGGCACACTGACCCGTCTGGATACAGAAATGCATAACCAATTCAAACTAGCTGACTTACTTTTATATAGTTATATATTTACCCTATATTTCAATATAAAATGTTCAAATGGTTTGTTCTGCCTGCTGATTATAAGCAATAGCTGACAAAGAGTTAGGGTTAGAGCAGCAGGAGTTACATGATACAGCAAGGACAAATATACTTTTACAGGAATATGGTAAATGGGGTTTATATCAACAGGCAAATTATAAAGAGGAAAAGAAACAGTATCACAATTTAATTTTAAAAAATACGGCGGCTTGAGTGTGCCATAATTGATGGATTTTTAGAGGGTAATTCTGATTGACTAGTAACGGCTAGTATGGCTATTTCAGACGCTGGTTCTCCACCAAAGTGCAAAATGTAAACACAACTTGCTTTTTGTTTCCTCTGGTGGTATTTATTAACCAACTCACCAAGCTGTGCTGATATAAGAAAATAATAATCCCATACATTACTACCTGCTATCTGTCTCCAAAGTCTGCCCACACATTTTACGTCATTTAGAGTGACATCTAATGACACGTTGAGTTTGTGTTATTACACTGGTAAATGGACCTGAACTTGTATAGTACAGTAAATGGTCTGTACTTGTATAGCACCTTTCTAGTCTTCCGACCACTCAAAGCACTTTTACACTACATGCCACATTCACCCTTTCACACACAGTCACTCAGTGATGGCAATCGAACAGAAGCTGATGCATTCACACATTCACACCGGGGTTGAGTATCTTGCTCAAGGATACTTCGACATGTGGCACCAGGAGCCGGGGATTGAACCCACAACCTTCCGATTAGGGGATGACCCACTCTGCCTCTGCGCCACAGCCACCCTGTAGGTCGCTAAAAGCCTTTATCAGAATATATTAATGGATTCACTGTGTGAACGGTCAATTTATCTCCATTTGCCTTTTCTACAGAAAAGTGACTAAAACCAGTTCCCCAGTAATAAAAACAAATCTCCTTTTGTTCATGGGTTCACACATGTAGAGAATACACAGCAGTGACACAAGAGCTACCAGGAATATCCATGTTTAGAGGAGATAAGATATAATAATAAACATGCTGATGTCAAAGTAATGCTCTGGAATGGGTTCAAAGATGCGGATTAACTAAAAAAAACAATTAGCTAACTAACAGATATCCAACTTGGATCACGTCAGGTCTTTTTTTTATATGATCCAAAGGTAAACTAACATCTACCCAGGTTCTTAAACAGATTAACTAAAGTAAACTAAAAACACTTGTGGGAGGTGTAATTGGTTCCACAGTAGGAGATTTGGGTTGTTTTTTTCATGAAACTACCACCCCTATTTCACACATCCAAATGCCAAGGAAATATAGTCCTGTCACTTCTCCACTATCAGTCATATCACTTGAATCTGCCCTGTGACCTGCTCTCTTGCCCATTCGTTCTAGGTACAGGACTTCTCCACATCCCAAAGTGGTGGGATGGTGTTCATGGGGTTGCAAAACAGTTCTGCCCCAAGCATCTTAAAACTACCAAATTAGTTTGAAAGAAAATGTAGCAGTATCTTTCATATTAACATAGTATCACAAATAATTAAATATTAAACTTGTCTGAACATTTCTGAGTTCTGCAGTGATGTAGTTATCTCATGTATCTTATCTTGCTTATTTTTTCTGAGTAAGGAAATCTTTACGGCTGTGTTAATCATTGTTTCCATGGCAAAAGTAAATAAACAAGGCTGCACAGGTGCCATGAAAATGATATTATCTTTTACCCTTTTCAAACCATTTGTGGTTTGTACTTATAAAAGGGACTAAACAGCGTGGGAGAAACACTAGTATTTATTCAATATGTTAAAGGAAAATAAAAGGAGTATAGGTAATCACGGTTAGTTTACTTTCTCTTTGGGCAGAAATGTTTGATACTGTAACGTAGGAGTGAATAAATGCAAGGTTTCCAAGAACTGGCTTGACAATAATAAAGCCTGGTTGGCTAAGGCTTCCAAATGGGAAAGGTGATTTTTATGAGCTAAACTACCTAGCCACAATCTTCTGGCAAACATTTTGCAACATGTTAACAGCTGGATTAACAGTTGGATTTTTAAACCATTTATTTGCATAATAAACATCAAGCTATTTGTACTCAGATGTCAAATGTGCTCTGAAAATTCTACACAGAAATATGGAAATTGGAGTCTGGAAAAGTCTGGAATTTTGAAACAGAAAATGTGAAGGAACCATGACCTACAGTAGTGACTGGGTGTGTTATTTCCAAGGGCAAAGAGTAAATTATTAACTGATTGCATTAGTTTTTGGGGTTAAAAAATAATATATATATATATATCTTAAATTTTTACTTATAATTATACTTTAATTATACAGCAAGCTTTGGCTTTAAGCCACAATGTTTTAGTCCCCCACCCCTTCTTACCCCTTCATCCTTTTCCAGCTCCAGCCCTGTCTCCAGGAGGTTTTCCTCAAACTCCTCCCGCCTGAAGCGCTTGTCATCCTCGTGATAGTCAGTCCGCTGCTTCTGGGCAGCGATCTCTGGGTCTTCTTTTGGCTGCAGCGGGGCTCGACTGCTTCTCATGCTCAGGCTGCGCCGAAGCCGTCGGATAAAGTTGTTTTCACCAAACTTGGACGACCGGCGCCGTGTGCTGCTGGGTTTCTGGATGTGGTATGCCAGCACATAGTCAACCCGACGCCGCCCATCCGAGAAATACGGGCCTAGCCGTGAATACAAGGGCGAGCCATCATCAGCATAAAGGTTTTTCATTGGCTAGAAGAAAGACAGGGACAAAGACAAAGTATCATAGATTAAGACGTGAAGAAACTTTTTACTTCTTAAAAATAAGGCTCACTTCGACAAAATACTGACAGTTAAAACATTTCCCCAGTGTTTTTACTGTATATGGTAGTTAAAACATTTCCCCAGTGTTTTTACTGTATGTGGTAGATAAAAAGTTTCCCCAGTGTTTTTACTGTATGTGGTAGATGGATTTTGCAGGTAGGGACTTGCAATAATTCTTGACGCTCACTATGCCAGCAGTCTCTTTTTTCTCTCTTGGTTGTAACAACAACAATTGCAGACAAAGCAGGTGGAAATATCGGTTTTCTACTTTAAACAGTACTTCACTTTGCCTGGTTCACTCTCTCCACCGCAGTCTGGACCCCGCCCTCGTTTTGTCAAGGCAAACTATTCACATTAATTATGGTGGGTTCATGCTCCAAAAAAATGTGTTCTTCCTTTGTCAATGCTACACCCTTCCACCAAGTCTCATGAAAAACTGTTTTCTTCTTACATTTTTAGATGTGGCCCTTCAGAATCAGGCAGGAAGTGAAAGACAGAATGGATGAGATGGAAAAATAAAGCCATACAGTGCTAGTTATTGTGAACTGACTGGGTCATCCCAGTCAAAAATGTTGTCAAACCTGGAATTTATTCTTAAATTATGGCTAGAATCAAATTTTGAATTCACAATGACCTTTGATCCTTGAGTCAAAAGTATCACCAATTCCTTGGCCAACCAGTTGTGAAATAGGGTTATCAATCTGAGTTATAGCCAAACGTGTTTTGTTATGCCAAAGTGACCTTTGTTTTCTCTCGAGGTATTCCTAAGATATCGCGTTGACAAGACTGACAGATGGCTGTATGGACAGATGGACAACCTGAAACCCATGGCTCTTGCTGACGCGGAAGAATAAACACAAACAAATATGGAGACTGAGTGACAGAATGAAAGCACTTAGGAGGGGGTGGAGAGGGTGTAGATAACATAGCCCAGTCTATGGTGGCTATTCATTCTCTGCAGGATATTTATGTGATGGACTGAACTAATGCACTCCTGGGCATCATACACTTTCACCCTTGCAATTTAACACCCTTTACTGCCCCCAGAGACATTCAGTGGAGGCCAGCAGAGAAAGCATAGTGCATCATACACATCTTCATATCTAATAGGGAGTAACATACAACAGAGAGCTGAATCATATTGTTTGCTGGAATATTTAATTTAAATAGAAAGCAGTGTCTACAGAGTGATATTTATCCTGCACTGTCTATTCATGTTTTGCAATTCCCAATTGTATTAAATGAATGGTCTTGTTGTCATCATACCACTGTGGTATTACACAGTACTGGCCTATAATATATTGATATACAGTATACCTGCACAAACGTCAGCTCATACTCAAATACACATCTTGTTGCACCTATGGAATAATGAGCCATAAGCCATATATATATATATATATATATATATATATATATATATATATTGTATTGATTCTTAAAAACACTGTATTAATCATATTTGCTAGATAGCAGTGTAAGCATAAAGTGAGGGTCACGATGTTGGGTTTCAGGGACTGTGGTAATTACAAATGCAGATCCCATTGTTTAGTTGCATGAACTTTTACTTTTACTCAGGTTTTATGCATATAGTGATGTGTATACTATTTTCCTAAAAATAGATCTAAAACATGGCAATATATTGAATATATATATATATATTATAAATGAAATCTCTTAATTAAATAGCAATTATAATTTTCCTAAATTAGATTTTCCATTTGTGTGCACCTTATCTACATCTCTGTCCCATCACTGGAAAATGTTACTTATACACATTATATCGCATCCCATCAATCAGTGTTTTTATCAAGAACTTCTCAAATTAAAGGTCTACTGTGTAAGATTTAGTGGTATCTAATGGTGAAGTATCAGATTGTATCTGACTATCTAATCAGCGCTTGTGTATATATTTGGCGACTTGGAAATGAGAATGGGCTGTGAGGTGTGTGTATAGGAGGAACTACGGTGGCCACAAAACTTGCTAAAACGCAAAAGGATATATATATATAGACACATACACACATATATATATAGCTGGATAGTCGAGCGGTTAGAGATGGGGCTCGAATCCCGGTCGGGAGCATATATGAAATAATCACTAGCAGTGAGGGGCAAATACAACCGCATCCAGTGAGGATCCTTGGGCAAGATCCTTAATGTATCAGGCCTACCTCAGCAACATGAGAGTACAAAATGATAGAGTCACACCGGCTCGGACGTCGCCCGGGTCAACAAGGTCCGCGTCCGGTGCTAGGGAACCAGGGCAACCTGATGAGAAATGGGCTAGACAAGAAATAGATGGACATGGGCAGAAAACACGGAACTTTTGGAATGCTACTATATGAGCAACCCCAGAGAGAAGGGATACATGCAGTGAATGTGGGACCAATGGTTACTTCGAAACCCACAATCAAGGCTAACAACGAAACGGCTGTTAGCCAAAATACCTCCAGAGAGTAAGGCAGGTCCTGAAAAGTCAGCTGAATGACAGGAACAAGATCCAAGCCATCAACATGTACGCACTACCTGTCATCAGATACCCTGCTGGGATCATAAGCTGGCCAAAGGAGAAGATAGAAGCCACAGATATCAAGACAAGCTCCTCACCATGCATGGATGGTTTCACCCCAAATCCAGCACCCTGAGACTGTACGCTAAGTGGAAAGAGGGAGGCCGAGGACTAGTGAGCATCAAGGCCACTATCCAGGATGAAACATCAAAAATCCAAGAGTACATCAGAAAAATGGCCACAAAGGATGAACTGCTAAGTGAATGTCTCAGGCAACAGAAACCCGATAAGAGTGCAGAGGAAGAGGAGCAGACAACCTGGAGGGACAAGCCCCTACATGGCACGTACCACCGCCAAATTGAAGAAGTGGCTGATATCAAGAAGACCTACCAATGGCTGGAAAAGGCTGGACTCAGAGACAGCACAGAGGCACTGATCATGGCAGCACAAGAACAGGCCCTAGGTACAAGAGCCATAGAGGACAAGATCTACAAGAGTAGATCTGACCCAAGGTGCAGACTATGCAAAGATGCCCCTGAGACAGTCCAGCACATAGTAGCAGGGTGTAAGATGCTAGCCGGGTCAGCATACATGGAGAGACCCAACCAAGTGGCTGGAATAGTGTGTAATAGTGTACCCAGTATGGAATAGAAGTACCCAAATCCCAATGGGCCGCACCACAGAAGATGGCTGAGAACAACAGGGCCAAGGTGCTGTGGGACTTCAGCTTCCAGACTGACAAACAGGTCCTGGCCAACCAACCGGACATAGTGGTGGTAGACAAGGAGCAGAAGAAGGCATTGGTGATAGATGTGGCCATACCAGCAGATGCCAACATCAGAAAGAAGGAACACGAAAAGGTTGAAAAGTACCAAGGGTTGAAAGAACAGCTGGAGCAGATGTGGAAGGTCAAGGCGAGTGTGATCCCTGTGGTAGTAGGAGCACTCGGGGCAGTGACCCCCAAACTGGGTGAGTGGCTCCAACAGATCCCAGGAACAACATCAGAAGCCTCAGTACAGAAGAGCGCAGTCCTAGGAACAGCTAAGATACTGCGCAGAACCCTCAAATTCCCAGGCCTCTGGTAGAGGACCCGAGCTTGAGGATGACACAGATACCACCCCAAGAGGGTGAGAAGTTTTTATATGTATATATATGTATATATGTGTATACTTAAGGCCTTGGTTGGTGATTTCTCAAAATGCCCTTTACATTCCCCAGAAAAGACTGATGATATTCTAGATTTTTCTATATAGTCAACACATCCCATCAAAAGACCAAACCAACAGTGAACATATCAACTAACAAATGTTGTGTTGTTAGGGCTGCACAATATGGAAAAAAAAAAAATCATAATATTTTGAGAGATACTGCGATTGTGATACGATTTACAATTAGTTTGTCTGTACCAAACAAACATGTTTTCTTAACTCTGGAGAACAAGATTTGCAGGCCAGAGCATATCTGCAGAACTACAGTACTTCATTATAATGTTGTTGTCACACAGTTTACTTTTATCAAGTGATTTGAAAATTGCACTTGGTCATTGCGATTTCAATAATATTGCGATTAATAGTGCATCCCTACCTCTGTGCCATAGAGCCAAAGAGCTGACTGTTATACTAGGTGACATGTTCATTCATTACCATGAACACACACACTGTATTTGTATAAGGACTCCAAATACTTACTAGAACACCAAATGTGAATTAATCCGCCGCTGAAAATTGTCCCCAACAAATGAACTATTTCCTCCTGTTTGAGCTTTGAGTGTGATATCTGCACCCACGGCCACCTCAGCAGAGAAGCACTTGGTCATGTCATTTCCACTCACACTCACTTTCCGTAACCATACTGCTGGTCCAGGGGTGATCTGGCCCAAGTAGCAACCTCCTGGGCTGTGAAATGAAGCCAACGTGGAAGTGCCAAAAGCTGCAGTTTTTTGAACAGCCACTTGAGGCTGGCTCCAGAAGTGAGTCAATCTCCATAAGGCCCCATATTAAAATGCCCAACTTTATTAAATAAAGATGTTTACAGCCTGGTATAAAAAACAGGGCCCTATAGCTAATTTCCTCATTCATGACTGTAGGGGTTGACTTTTATATAACTCACCCATTTAACTTATATTAAGGCTTAAAGTTATGCATAATTAAGAGTGAGGCAGCTTTGAGTGACAAGAAGCTACCGTCACAGAAATCTGTTCTCAGCTTCATTCAGCCCTCCTCAGCCCCATCCACGATGCGCCCATTTTTGGATTACATGGCCTGCCAAGATGGTGAAGGCCAGAGCCGACCATCGGCTGATGTCACAGAGAGTATGGCCATTTTTAATTATACAGTCTGGCCTCCTTCATGGAATAAACTAATTGATGCAATGAGCAGTGTTACTACACCAAATACCTGCCACAAAATGGGGGTGT